ATTAAGTTAAGATTCAAATTAATTACCAAGCAGCATGCCGATAAAAATTATTTTTAATTTTCTGTGTAATAAATTGCTAAGTGATTCATTAGACTGTGACCAGCGGGTTGGTACTCGGGTAGTTGTCCTCGCCTAGCTGTACTTGCAGGTGAGGTGAGCTACAGCTCTTGGGTCCCATCTCTCTACACATAGTCTGCTGGTGTATTTTTAGACTCCACAACCTTTTGGGCTCTTATCTCTACATTTATGGTTTAATGTAGAGTTTGCCTCCATGTTGAAGATTTTCTCTTGCCATGATGTGGTGGTGGATACTTTGTGGTGCCATTACCTAGTGGTGGATGTTTTGTGTTGCCTATGACCTGGTGTAATCAGTGTGACTTCTTCAAACTTGTCACAATCTTAAAAAAAAATTCTACTTGTCCCTGGGGAATTTTACTCTTACCAGGATATCTCTTAGTGCCTTACCCCATTTCCATGCAACTATTAGGGGTATATGGGGAAACCTTTGCCAGGCTGGGAAGTTCTTATAGGTGTGTCTCCTTTCCAGAGAGTACAATTTAAGGGCCTTGAGACAGACTCGTAATTTAGATATTTTATCATGTCTATGCATGCCATATATGCTCTCTGTATTCCCACTACTTCATAAATCTCTCCTGCTCTTAAAGGGAAAGTGAATACTGAGCAGTACTCAAGATAGGACAGCACCAGTGATTTAAAAAGTATTAGCATTGTTGTGGGATCCCTAGATTTGAGCATTTCCATAAGTCATCCTGGCTGTCACTATGTTTGCTTGGTTATGTCCACTAATTGTCAGGTCCTCAGACATCATAATTCCCAGATCTTTTACATGTTGTTTTCCTTCTATGAGTAAGTGTGACTGTGTCTTGTACCCTGCATTTTGTTTAAGTTTCTCATTTCACCCATATCTAAGTACAGTACTTGGAACATCATGGAACACAGTTAAACATCATGCTATTTTCCACTGCCCAATCAAAGACTTTATAAATATCGGCTTGTAGTTTTCAGTGTCTTCTGCAGAGAAAATGTTCATGCAGATTTTTTGTATCATGTGCAAAGGATTACATGAAGCTGTGACTAGTATTTTTGTCTATAATATAAGAATGAGAAGGAGCAGTGGTTCAAGGACTGTGCCCTATGGTACAGAGCTTTTCACTGCACTTGATCTTATTTGGCTATTATTCTTTGTGGTCTGTTTAACAAAAAGTTGAAAAACCAGTGCCCACACTACCCATTATTCCTATTGATCTCATTTTATGGGCTATCACTCCATAGTCACACATCATTTAAATGCCTTTGCAAAGTCTGTGTATACAACACCTGCATTTTGTTTTTTTTCTAATGCTTCTGTGATTTTGTCATAGTGGTTGAGTAGTTGCAAAAGCAGGATCTTCCCACTCTAAATTCATTGTTGGCCTGGATTGTGAAGTTCATTTTTTTCCATAAAACAGGAGATTTGTTTCATAATCTTTCAAAAACGTTTATTATATGTGATGTTAATGTGGCTGGTCTATAGTTTTCTGGCAAAGCTTTACTACCTCCCTTGTGTAGAGGAGGTATCTGCTGATTTAAATCCTGCTGGTATTTTCCATTTATCCAAGCTCTTTATCCATATTACACTGAGCACTTAGCTATTGGTACTTAACATTTCTTTATGAATATTGAATTCCATGAGTCCGGACCTTGGTCCGAAACATGAGTATGTTGTCAATTTACCTTTCAAAGACTTCTTTGTTCATGTTAATATCAGTAATATTGTCTGAGGTTTGGATAGCATTCCACAGGGAAGCTGTCCAGATCTTCCACTTTCATGTTGTTTATTAGAGTGCTAAATATAGCCACACATACTGGTCTTTTAGAATTTCACTAATTTATTTGTCATCCTATGTGTAAAGACCTTCAGATGTAAGTATTGATCCAAGACTGGAGGAGGTTTTTGATTTTGATTTTGCATATGTGAAATTTTTGGGGGGATTTTTCTTTATTTCTTGTATAGCTTTCTGTTCGTTTCATTTCCTCAGACTGGTATGATCACTACAGTCTATTTTATCTCTTTGATCTCCCCGTTTAGATTTCTTTGTTGTGAAAGTCATGTCTGCTTAAGCATTTCCATGATTTTTCAGGCACATCTGATCCCTCAATTGTCATCCTTCTGACCCAATTTCCTTTTATTTTTTTCAGTCTTCTGCATTCTCTTTCTAGTGGTCCTCTTTCTGACCCTCTGCAAAGGCACAAGCTTCAAACAGATTTTGTATGCTTTGGGAGTCAGTTGAACTATTTCCTGTGTGGAAACTTTGCTGCTTAAGACTGTTTCCCATTGCAAATTCTATATTTTTTCACATTCAATCCTCTTATTGTTAAAATTGAATTGACTGAATAACCCTTCTTGCTTGTTAATCTTCCTGGATCTATTACAGGTATAGATGTTTGAACGTCAGTGAGCTTGTGGTCTTGAGTTTGCAGTATCTGAGATTTTAATGTGTCTGATTATTTCCTCATTGTGACTATCAGGTTGAGTGTGTTTTCATTCCTGGTTAATTCTGTTATCTGTTGAGCGAGAATTTGTCATATAATTTTAGTAGTTCTCTGACCTGTGGTTGATTTGTGGTTGATGTTATTGTTTCCTATGTTTCATCTTAAATTAGGTAGATTGAAGTCTCCAAGGAAGATAATATCTGGTACTGGATATTGCTAAGTTATCAAGGCTATTCTCCATTTTCTGTATTTGCTTCATGAATTCCTCAACTGTTGCAGGTGGTTGTTTGTATATTAAAATAACAATTAAATTTATTTTTACATTTAATTGTTTTCTACCTTGAATCCAAGTACCTGCACCACCTCATTGGTAGTTAAGGAGCTCTGCAAATTCTTTAATATACAGATCTACCCCTCCATATGACCCTATTTACTCTATCACATCCACCTAGATTATAATTTGGGATCCAAATTTCACTATCAATGTAATCTTTCATATAGGTTTCTATGAATGTTCCAAATATTGAATTTGACTATTAGAAGGTCACTTATAAAGTCAAAATTAAGGAAAAAAGATCATATTTGCAAACATACAATGCCTAAACTGTCCATATTGCATGTTACCTCTGGTGGGGTTTGAGAGTTCCCCCCCCTCTCCATCATGATCCAGGGTAAACTGTTTTGGAGATGGTTTGTCATTGGTCATTACTGTGGAGTTATGGGGTGTAGTACACGTGTGTTTGATGATGACTTGCATTCGAATCTTGCACATTTCCCTCTCCCCCATCTATACTCTTGTGTTTGTCTGCCTGTTCCTCTCTCTTACCTGCTCAACTCTGTTTCTGTCCAACTCTAAAAAAACTTTCAGAATTATTGTATTGGTCCTTCTGTCTGTAATGGTTTATACCTCTCACATAGAAATTTTGACATTGAAGATCATAGCATTTTCTCTCATTAGTTGAAAATTTGCATAGTTTGGGATGTGCAAAACTGCATGTACCCCTCCCTAACATATTTCAGCATTTTTGAGGATGCATGAAATGTCATTTTGTGCATTTGGTTCCATATTTACATAATCCTTGTAAATACTTTGATTTATTATACTGGTATTTTTTGTTAATCCATTACATTTTGCAGTTTGCTCTACTTTGCTAAAATTTTCCCTTCTGTTGTCTCGTTCATGAATACTATCTTTATCAATCGATCTTTGGCTTTGTTGTACCAGCCTAACCAGGAGATGGAGGTGAGGAGAGTGTGCAGGGATGACTTGGGTACTGGGTTGCCCGGGCACCTCATCTAGCAAGGATATGGATGATGCTGTTTAGCAACGATATACATAACATTGTAGTCTGGGGCTGGCTGTTGGTGCAGCACAGTTAGTCTATACCTGAAAGAATGGCATTACTATGGGCACTGAGGACTTCAAGGCCAGTTCAGGTGACTGCAGAAGTTTAATAAACTATGACACGCCTTTAATTCTGTAAGTGCATTTTGCTGCCTCTTCCCGTTTAGATTTTAAATGCTATTTCCACAGTGCTCTATTAAGACAGGCATAATAATTCATATGCTACAAATAGGTAGATATATTTACCACAATTTTTTTAGGCATGCTTATTTCTGGAAGGGCTGAACAGTCTAAGGCTCCTTGAATCTAGCACATAGAACTTCACAAACAAGTCTCATCAGCCCTAGGAGTCTTAAAATAGCCTACTGGGGACCAGAACCTGGTCATTTTCCCCCTTACAGAGGTGCAAGGAGCTGGGGATTCTTTAGTCACTTGTATGAAGGACTCCTAAGGGCAGATGTGACTCGTGTGTGTGGAGTTTCCTTGAAGCTAGCCCTTGGAAACCACCGAGGCTCCTCCAGAAAGAGGCATTTAAGCACATTCAAAGCTGGCATTTTTTAAGCATACAAAACTATTATATAATTTCTAAATACTATATGCTGAAACATGTACTACATCATTAGCTAAAGGAAAAATCTGGCAGTTGCCTAAAAAAAATAAAAAAAAAAAGAGGCAATTTTTTGGAAATTCAGATTTCTTGCAAATCCAGATTGGTTCTGAAGGTTTGTTCCATTTTGTGGGAGCACTGTATATGATAGAGTATAAACATATAAAAAAAATCATATTTATTGTTTTTCATTTATACAATGAACCAAGATACAGGACGTTTGTTCACAACCTTCTTATTGACAAATCAAAATCATATGAATGTTGTTTTGAAGTTAACAAACTTTAAAGACAAACTTGCCATTTACAAAAATGAAGGTCCAAAAACACACACACAGCACCACATCTGGTAGCATAGGGGGCCCTGGTAGCCTGGTGGATAGCGCGCAGTACTCGTAATTCTGTGGCGCGGGTTCGATTCCTGCACCAGGCATAAACAAATGGGCAGAGTTTCTTTCACCCTGAATGCCCCTGTTACCTAGCAGTAAATAGGTACCTGGGAGTTAGTCAGCTGTTACAGGCTGCTTCCTGGGGTGTGTGTGTGTGTGTGTGTGTGTGGTTTGGGGAAAAATAAACTAAATAGTAAACAGTTGATTGACAGTTGAGAGGCAGGCCGAAAGAGCAAAGCTCAACCCCCGCAAACACAACTAGGTGAATACATCTACTGTACACTCGTCCATCAGCGACTCGCTGAGAATGTCAAAATACATTAATGTTGCTAATTACAGAGGCTTTCTAGGGACTTGTGGTTCCCCTTGAAGCTTTGGAGGTAGCTCTGCTGCTGCAGTGGATGGGGCAGCACTCATAGGTGGTCCAGTTACTCTAAAGCTTTAGGAAGCCACTTGCACTATCAGAAAGGGTCATTTCATTCAATGCTGGCTTTTCATATGTTGCATCTTGAGGCATATGCCATCAGATATAACCATGAACTTTTATTACTGTATTCACCTTTGAACCAAAACAATGAATGTCACCTACTGACCAGAAAAGGGTCACTATATTAAACCACAACATTAGCTTCAATGAAATTGGCTCCACTGCAACATACACAATGATTTCCTCAGGTATTATGGGCATGATGGAAGCCCAATGCACAATTCCCTTTGTTGGGGACAAGAAGCCTGTACTATGGCTTATTAAGTCCCCTTAGGTCAACTACTAATCTTCCTTAAGATGTGACCTACAATAGTTTCCCTTCTCCTGGGTACCTATTTAATTGCTTGGTGAACAGAGGCAGCAGGTGAAAGGAAAATTGCCCAGGAATCTAATCTGGGATTCTCAAAAGGTAGTCGAGCAACCCGCCCTCTTAAAAATAACGTCGCTTTTCGCTTGTATGTGCTCTATGGCCAAAAATGGACGTAATTTGAAATGAAATCAGCTCACGAAAGTGATGTACTGATTTCATCACTTTCCCATTGCAAATTCTATATTTTTTCGCATTCAATACTCTTATTGTTAAAATTGAATTGATTGAATAAATTTTTTTGTTTAAAAAAATCCAAAATTTATTTTCATTTTTTTTCATTTTCAAATTACGTCCATTTTTGGCCATACGGGCAAATTTAGACGTAATTTGTAAGAGGACAAGTTGAGTCGAGGATGTAGACCACTAAATTACAGGACCAAAGAATAGCCCAAAATATTTCAGATCATTTTTACATAGCTATACTGTTTTGCATCCAAGAAATAATTTAAAAATATATTATCTGAATTACTTTAACATCTATCACAAGTACAAATATACTAATACAAATTATATACAAATTTATTCACTAAATAAAATATTCTGTATACACTGTACAGTACTGCATAATATACATATATATTCAATCACAATTTTTTTTTTTTTTTTTTTTAAAAAAAAAGTATTTCTAACAGGAAGTACTAATCTTTCAAAATAGAAAATAAAGACTAGGACAAATATTACAAAAGCTAAAACTCGATACATAAGAAATAGTGCTAACTTAATATTATTTTTGTTTCAGAATTTTGTTTCATCGTCGGAGAAGCACTCGTTATCAACTCCCTGGCGCTTCCCACTTGCATCATCATCCTTTACTTCATCAACATACCTGTACGTCACAGCAAGCGCAGCAAATATGATCATATCGACAAACATAAGTACAGCAAACAAGAAGAACTCCATTGCCTGGAAAGAAAATGAAAACCAATATATGATTTAGTTTCATATATCCATGATGTACTGTTTTCTTCATGGACCAAACAAGGCAATGAATGACAGTATTATACTTGGGGGGAGGGAGGAGGGGAGGGAGGAGGGGAAGGGAGGAGGGGAGGGAGGGAGGAGGGGAGGGAGGAGGGGGAGGGAGGGAGGAGGGGAGGGAGGGGGCGGGAGGAGGGGAGGGAGGGGAGGGGAGGGAGGGGGAGGGAGGGGGGAGGGAGGGGGGAGGGAGGGAGGAGGGGAGGGAGGGAGGAGGGGAGGGAGGGGGAGGGGGGGGGGAGGGGGGGGAGGGAGGGGAGGAGGGAGGGGGAGGGAGGAGGGGAGGGAGGGGGAGGAGGGAGGAGGGGAGGGGGAGGGAGGAGGGAGGGGGAGGAGGGAGGAGGGAGGGGAGGGAGGGGAGGGGGGAGGGAGGAGGGGAGGGAGGAGGGGAGGGAGGGAGGAGGGGAGGGGGAGGAGGGGGGGGAGGGAGGAGGGGAGGGGGAGGAGGGGAGGGGAGGGGGAGGGGAGGGGGGGGGATCCTAAGTCCTCTCCCTCCTCCTCCCCCCTCCTCCCCCCTCCCTCCTCCTCCCCCTCCCCCCTCCCGCCCCCTCCATCCTCCTCCCCCTCCCTCCCCCAAGGGGAGGGAGAGGGGAGGGAGGAGGGGAGGGAGGGAGGAGGGGAGGGAGGGGGGGAGGAGAGGAGGGAGGGGATCCTAAGTCCTCTCCCCCTCCCGCCTCCTCCCCCTCCCTCCCCCGGAGGGGAGGGAGGAGGGGGGGAGGGGAGGGAGGAGGGGAGGGAGGGAGGAGGGGAGGGGGAGGAGGAGGGGGGGAGGGAGGGGAGGGGAGGGAGGGGGAGGGAGGAGGGGAGGGGGGGAGGAGGGGAGGGAGGGGGAGGGGAGGGAGGGGGAGGGAGGAGAGGAGGGGAGGGAGGAGGGGAGGGGAGGAGGGGGAGGGGAGGGAGGGGGAGGGAGGAGGGGAGGGGAGGGGAGGAGGGGAGGGGAGGGAGGGGGAGGGGAGGGAGGGGGAGGGAGGAGGGGAAGGGAGGAGGGGGAGGGAGGGGGGAGGAGGAGGGGAGGGAGGAGGGAGGGGGAGGGGAGGGAGGGGGGAGGGAGGAGGGGGGGGGGAGGGAGGGGGGAGGGAGGAGGGGAGGGGGAGGGAGGAGGGGAGGGGGAGAGGGAGGGAGAGGGAGGAGGGGAGGGGGAGGGAGGAGGGGGGGGGGGAGGGAGGAGGAGGGGGGGGGGGAGGGAGGAGGAGGGGGGAGGAGGGGAGGGGAGGGGGGGGATCCTAAGTCCTCCCCCTCCCCCCTCCCCCCCCTCCCCCTCCCTCCCCTCCCCTCCTCCCCCTCCCTCCTCCCCCCTCCCTCCTCCCCACCCTCCATCCTCCTCCCCCTCCCTCCTCCTCCCCCTCCCTCCTCCTCCCCCTCCCTCCTCCTCCCCCTCCCTCCCCCTCCCTCCTCCTCCCCCCTCCTCTCCCCCCCCGAGGGGGGGGGGAGGAGGGGAGGGAGGGAGGAGGGGAGGGAGGGAATCATAAGTCCTCTCCCCTCCTCCCCGGAGGGGGGAGGGAGGAGGGGAGGGAGGAGGGGAGGAGGAGAGGGAGGGAGGAGGAGAGGGAGGGAGGAGGAGAGGGAGGAGGAGAGGGAGGGAGGGGGGGGAGGGAGGGAAGGAGGGGGGGAGGGAGGGAAGGAGGGAGGAGGAGGGGATCCTAAGTCCTCTCCCTCCTCCTCCTCTCCCTCCCCCTTCCTTCCTCCCTCCCCCTTCCCTCCTCCTCCCCCTCCCCCTCCCCCTCCCCTCGATGGGGAGGGAGGGAGGGAGGAGAGGGAGGGGATCCTAAGTCCTCTCCCCCCCTCCTCCCCCCCCCCCCCCTCTGGGGAGGGAGGGAGGGAGGGGAGGGAAGGGAGGGAGGGAGGGGAGGAAGGAAGGGAGGGAGGGAGGGAGGGGAGGAAGGAAGGGAGGGAGGGAGGGAGGGAGGAAGGAAGGGAGGGAGGGAGGGGAGGGAGGGAGGGAGGGGAGGGAAGGAAGGGAGGGAGGGGGGGGGGGAGGGAGGGAGGGAGGGGAGGAAGGAAGGGAGGAAGGGGGGGAGGGAGGGAGGGAGGGAGGGGATCCTAAGTCCTCTCCCCCTCTCCTCCTCCCCCCTCTGGGAGGGGAGGGAGGAAGGGGGGATCCTAAGTCCTCTCCCCCCCCCCCCTTCTCTGGGGGGGGGGGAGGGGATCCTAAGTCCTCTCCCTTCTTTCTCTCCCTCTCCTTCTCCGGGGGAGGAGGGAGGGGGGGAGGAGAGGGAGGGGGGAACAGATGAGGAGAGGTGGAGAAGGAGAGGACGGATATGAGGGGGGAGAGGAGGGGTAGGTGGTGGTAGAAGGGAATTATCAGGGAAAAGTCCCAAGCCATTACAATTATATAGCACTGGGAAGAGGTCAGGAAAATAGATTCGGGATGGGACGGAGGAAACAAGTGGTGCCCGACCACTTGGATGGTCGGGACGAATGCCGACCTGCATGAAGCAAGTCCATCGCTCTACCGTCCAACCCAAGATGTTGAGCACCAGTCCTGTCCCAAATCCTTATCTTGATCCATTCCCAGTGCTATATACAGTAGTTGTAGTGGCTTGGCACTTTTTCCTTGATAATTCCCTTCCCCCTTCCAATAGGCTGCTGGGAAGGAGAGGAGGGAAGATAGAGGGCTTACACTCACCTGGCTTTTAAAGAACTTAGCTTCTGCAATGATTACCACAATCAAATTACCAAAGGACACAGTAAGAAGCCAGGCAGCTTGCAGGACAGACTTCATGCTACTGGGGGCCTGTGAAAGAAAAAAAAATGCCTATAATTATTTTGACTCGAGATGGCATGTACATTATTCTCAAAAAATATATAAAATAATAATAGACAGTATGATTTTCGAACAGGTGTATCCTGTGTGACAAATTTACTTGAGTTTCTATAATAGAGATCAAGAGATTTTACAGGAAAGAGATGGTTGGGTTGATTGCATCTCAATAAAAAAAAAATAAAAAAAACAAAAAAAAAAAAATGGCTTTTGACAGTCCCACATAAGAGGTTGTTCTGGAAACAGGAACATACAGGAGGATTGACAGGGAGGCTTCTAACCAGCAGAAAAATGTGGAGAGTAATCATAGGCAATGTACAGTGTTGGACTGGAGAAATGTCACAAGTGGAGCACCACAGGGCTCAGTTCTTTCACCAGAATTGTTTATTGTCTACGTAAACTGCCTACCAGAAGCTAAACAGAATTATATGGAATTAGAATCCCAGGTGGGACAGAAATGAGGATGTATTTCCTATCTAATGGATCTGTTCACCTAGCAGTAATTTTTATTTTGAATACTGTATTGTTACTATAGGCAAGAGAATGATAAAACCTTTGAAAAAATTTGAAATATGGGAATTTTCTCAGCCAAGTCTCTTGTCTATTATGACACCTTGGTGGAGCAGACATCAAATTTCAGCCAATTGTGATCCATTCAAGCAGACACACTATACCAGGCATGTCAAACATGCAGCCCTTACTTAGCAAGCACATCTGTGGCCTGCACAAAGGATACTATAATTTGGTAATTTGTACATTATATGTTTATAATAAAAAGTTCTGCAATAATTGTTATTAAATGACTTCAATTAGCTGTGGTGTATGGCCCTTATGAGAACACAAATGTGACCCATATGGCCCTCGGGGGCCCCTTGATTTGACATGCCTGCACTATACTATTCGTGAATGACACTACCTTCATCTTCACAAATTCCAATCCACACATACCTTAAATTATATAAGACAAATGAACTAACAAAAACACCTCACATGAATAGCAACCTAGAAACTCAGTGCAAGTATAGCCTAACAACTCTCAGATGAAGAAATAGTTAATTTGTGCTATAATCTCATTTTCAATCAAAAATACTTGTTACCAAAATTCATTTCAAGACTCCTTGAAAATTCTTCACAATAATGTATACTTTATCTAGATGCAAGCCATGACTTCTTACCTGTGTAAATGAAAACTCGAGGCCAGTAATGGAAAACATAATTTCCGAGATGGTGATAATGATGTACTGGGGAAGCAGCCATAATATGTGCACCGAGTTCGATGGAGTAACTTCAAACAGTTTCATTGTCTGCAAGGCCAAATCATAATCAGTAAGTGTAACATTGTTAATCTACAATAACTGTATATAAAATGAAGTCCCTTGACTACAGTATGACACTTTTTAAACAATCAATCCTAAACCATCTACAATAGCTTATCATGAAATTTGAACAAGGAAAAGATAATTAATTTTTTTTTTTTTAAACACCTTATAAGGGTCAAAGAAGTCTTAAAATTTATCTAATTATATTTGTGTATCCATCCTTATTAGTTAATTAATCCTTATTAACCTGATTAAATCTGGCAAACTGTTTCAAGCCTTGCACAAGTTTTGACAAATTAAAGAATCCAAAGCGCCACGTGTGGACGGAATTCAATCGAAAATCATAAAGGAACACTCTCCCAGCATTAGGACATCTGCCTTGCACATAATTATCATAAAAGCAGCATTCACAAAGTACTGTATCATTTGGTTAACTCTTACCGTAGAATTATTAGTGTCATCAAGAGATTTCTGTACCAAGAAGTTATAGACACCACCCAGTTTCACATGAAGTCTCGTATTCAAGATCTCCACAGGATCACCCTCACGGTTCGGTACAAAAACTTTATAGCTGAAAAATAGATTAACTATTAATGGCAAAGCTACCTACACACACACATGAGAAAGGAATGGAGTTTCAAGGAGATGGTTATCCCAGGCTGTGAAGAGTTTAGGGACAACATAACAGGCACCATGAAGATGGGAGGACCAAGAGTAGAAGTAGCAGTGATATATAACCCTCCACCAAATGACAAAAGACCCAGGCAAGAATATGACAGAATCAACATGGCAGTTAACAATATAATTGAGAGGGCAGCCTCTGCTGCCTGTAGAATTCGATCCCATCTGCTCATCATGGGTGACTTCACTCACAGAAGGATAGACTGGGAGAACAAGGATCTGCATGGGTGAGAGGAAACATGGAGAGCTAAGCTACTGGACGTGGCAACAAGAAACTTTTTAAGCCAGCATGTTGGAGAACCCACAAGGGTGAGGGAAAACGACGAACCAGCGAGGCTCAACCTAGTATTCACTCTGAATGACTCCGACATAAGGGAAATTGACTTCAAGGTCACAGTAGGAATGAGAGATCACAGTGTACTGACATTTGAGTATCTGGTCGAAGAAGGGTTAAAGTACTCGAGAAAGGGAACTGAAAGCAAAAGGCTAGCATTCTGTAAGGGAAACTATGAGATGAGAAAATTCTTAACGGATATAACATGGGAAACAGCTAAGGGAAAAGACGGCCCAAGACATGATGGAATACATCACACTGAAATGTAAGGAGGCAGCAGAAAAGTTCATCCCGGCCCAAAAGGTAAAAAATTAAATGCGGATGAGAAACCCAAGGTTTAATCAGAGATGTAAGCTAGCTAAGCAAGAAAGTAAAAGAGCATGGAGAAACTATAGAAATAAAAGGACACTTGAGAGCAGAGAAGGATACCAGATACCCTGACGTATTCATTCCTGGCTAAGAAGAGAGGCAGAAGGACAATATGAAAACGACATAGCAAGCAAGGCTAAGACAACCCAAATTGCTACACAGCCATATCAGGAGAAAGACAACAGTGAAGGAACAGGTAATGAAACCGAGGATAGGGGCAGACAGATTCACTAGAAACGACAAAGAAGTGTGCGAGGAATTCAATAGGAAATTCCAGGAAGTCTTCACATTGGAGCAAGGAGAAGTTCCAGAGATAAGGGAAGGAATAGTTAACCAGGCACCACTAGAGGAATTTGAGATTACCAGTGGGAATGTAAGGAAGCTTTTGCTAGAGCTGGATGTGAGTTAGAGCAAGAAGGATCAAAAGCAAATATGAAAATAATTTACCACAGCCTCAGGCTAAACCACCACATTTACCAGGGCAGAAGGACCGGTCATTAACTTTTGCCAAGGAGCAGAAATCAACCCCAAACCAGAAATAGGTGTAGGCCATGCAGCAGCATTCCCCTCTTCACTACAATTTCATGAATATGGAAAGACCATTACAAGAATGTAAGAACTCTTATATATAAAAGTAAATAAATAAATTAATTAACTAAATAAATAAATAAATAACCACTCCTACCACTCTCAGGGAGTAGAAGGTACAGAAAGGGCCTGGACCTCTCGAACACATACCCTTTTTGAAAGAGGGAACCAAGCACCCAGTTTCTAACCTGATTTCAGTAGGTGTGTGGATGAAATAAAGCTAAAATCTCAGAATTGCAGCAAAAAGGGAAATATAAGCACAACACTTAATAGTTAAGATAGAAGCTGACACAGCATCCTCAAGTGGACTTTGATGTAGGCCTTGAGAATCAAGTTAACACAACCAGATGGACATAACCATCTCTAAATAGATGGCATCCTGCAGTTCCACTGCACTAGCCAAGACCAGTGAAAATAATACATAATTTAGAGTAACTAGTTACCCAAGTAGTGGTGGTGTTGATTTAGGAGTGACAACAATTGAGGGATTGGTTGTGCCCCGGCTGCCCGATACTGGGAAATTGCGAAGAGAGATGGGATCCCTACAGCCTCTTCAGGCCACAGACTTGTCCAATTAAGCAGAAGGTATGGCAAGATAATTACCCAAGTGTAGTTACAGAATGAGAGGTACATTTGTGTCCCCATCTTCTCAATGCAGCATTCTGTCATAAAATGTTCTGAAACTACCAGTGGTTTTGACAGTCACTTCCTTCTCACTTAATTTGTTTCAACCATCAAACACTGTTTGCATAATTGATTTCTAATATTTTTCCCACCTTCATTTCCTTAGCTTGAATCTATGACCTCTTGTTCTTTAATTTGTAGGTTTTAAGGTATAGCATTTAAGTTTCAAAAACCCTTTTCTGCTTGGCTTAATTATTTTTTTTAACAAGAAAAGATTTTGTATTAAAAAAAGGAAATGTAATTGTTAAAAAAAAATTATTCTTTCCCTACCTGTCAGGCTCAACTTCCTGGAATTCTGTACCAGAGATGTATCCCTGGGGTGTTTCTTCAATAGGAAAATCATAGGTATCAAATTTCCCCACCAGATGCACAGATGAGTTGAAGTGGACCATACCAAGGTTGAACAGCATCCTGAAATATAAATTATATATTTTTACAATGATCCACATTTTATACATTCCATCTATAGTAGCTATTAGTTCATCATTTTGCAGGATGCACACCTATAAGTAGTTAGGGCAAGGAGACAGGTTTGAGCTATATGTATGGCCACACCTGCCATTTTGTCCTTATTAATTACTTAATTATTGTTTCATATTTGCTGTGTACTGTATGTAGTATAGTGTATTGTAGTGTAGCTAGTATAGTGTGCATAGTGTAGCTAGTCTAGTGTGCATTGTGTAGTGCTGTAGGTAGCTAGTCTAGTGTGCATTGTAGTGTAGCTAGTCTAGTGTGCATTGTAGTGTAGCTAGTCTAGTGTGCATTGTAGTGTAGCTAGTCTAGTGTGCATTGTAGTGTAGCTAGTCTAGTGTGCATTGTAGTGTAGCTAGTCTAGTGTGCATTGTAGTGTAGCTAGTCTAGTGTGCATTGTAGTGTAGCTAGTCTAGTGTGCATTGTAGTGTAGCTAGTCTAGAGTGTGTGTAGTGTAGTGTTGTAGTGTAGCTAGTCTAGAGTGTGTGTAGTGTTGTAGTGTAGCTAGTCTAGTGTACATATTATAGTGTCTGTCACTCCTCTAATATGCTGTGTGTAGCATGTAGCAAGTAAACCTTATACTCGCTCCACTCTCTCATTACCTTAATGACAAACTAATTATGACTAATCAAATCCTTTCCCTAATTACAGGTAACATTCTTTCCATCCTGTTGGAGGAAGCTGAGGTGTAGTTACAAAATATAAGCAAGCAATATGTGAATAGCTGACAGTACAATTTCCAAAGTGATTCAGTTAACTTCTGTAGCTTTGGATTTACCACAACTCTTCAACCTCAAGAATGTAGCATTCGGCATGTACAGTTCTAATCGACCCCAAGACGCTACAGCTTCGACACAGAGCAGACAGTAGACTACGTACCACATTGAGCTACAATGCTCTCGCTCCCCATCGAGTTCAGACACTCACAATTCCCTATCGAGCCGCCATGCTCTCCTGCATAGAGCTCCACAACTCCGGCCTCACTCGGCTCTCTGCTCTGCTCCAAGCTCCGTCTGAACCTCTACGACAATGCCAACAACCGCTACTGTAATCAAGACTACTAAATAAATATGAAACTCACTAAACACTGTATCTAATCTACCCAACAACGTAACAAGCATATACTATTTAAAAAAAAAAATTTGTTTGGCTGCAAATAAAATATGAAAGTGAAAACCTTCATACAATATAAATCTTTAACCCTTAAAGTGCAGTTACTCTATTGTCCTAAGTTTATTTAAACTATTATTGTCTGTGTTTGTCGCCCATCATGCTAATATGGATATAATAGCTCTACTGTATATGGATATAGTGAACATTACCTTGATGCATGAAAAAACTTGCTATTGTTTCATGATTGCTTACTATACAAATATAGCTTTCACTGCAAATGTTACTATGCCACTAGAGTAATCATCATGGTGTATAATAATTCCATTTATACTTACATAATATGTATACTGATTATGTTCATATGGTTTTTCCAACTCTGTATGGTTGTAATGAAGTACACCAGGTCAACCAATCATTTGAACACAATAATAAAAGAACTACATAAGCCCTATTGGCTCAGATGATGCAATCCCTATTTATGTCATCGATATTACCTGAATTTACTTGAAGGCCACAATCTCTCTAATGGCCTCAATGTGGACAGGAAGCCAGTGGCTTGTCAAAGGTCCCCCCCCCTCCCAATTTGTCATGATTTTATTGAGTTGGATCTTTAATTGCAGAAGTGTTTTGGCATTTACACCTTTGGCAGGTAAGCAGTTCCATGGGTTTATTTAACCCTATGGGTGAAAAAGCATCAGTTTTATTCACTAATGACACAAAAGTATCAATGCCATCAGCTCTGGCATTGACAAAAGGTGGTGGGGGTCAAAACTGTCAGTAATTTCAAAGAGTTATACGACAAAGAGTACCGGGAAAATGGGACACCACAAGCGTAGCTCTCATCCTGTAACTACACTTAGGTGATTACAGATGGGGCTGCACCACCAGATGGTCATCCTGAATAGTGCATGGTTACAATATAGATATTACATTTATTTCCACACTTTTTGTTACACTTTGCATCCATATTAATCATTTTATAAGGGTTATTTTTTTCCACGTAGCTGAATATGCAGGTAAAACCTAAGCTGCGCATCAAGGGTTAAGTTTGGAATGTATCCAGCCTCATATGGTTGAGTCTATCAAAGTTACATTGTTTAGCAAAACATAAAATTATGTAAAGTACCTTAGCTTTGGAAGTCCACTTTGAGACTTCATAAAATCATCTGGCGGCTCAATATTGACCACCTGAGCAAAAGAAGTGTCGGCTGTGATCAAAACAGCATGTGCCTGTTATAAAACCAGAAGAAAACCATTAATTAAACTATTAAATTAATTATTATTAAAAGCACTATTATTAAAGCACTCAAAATTTCTACATACATCATGTGTACAACTCTCACTTGTCATAAATATAACATTACTCTTGTGTATAAATTGTACACATTTAAGAAACCCCTAATAGATTCCAATTAAAAAAAATTAACTATCATTTTGATAGCTATGACACTTGGATACCCTCTAAGATGAGATCACTGATGACTGTACAGTGGGATCTTCATAGTTAGGGCAGAATGCCATTTTGCACTGATGTAACCAAGGTCTGATCCAATTTCTGAGATCATATTGGTGCTACAGAATCACTGGAGAAGAGCTTAATCCAGCCCAGTGACCATAGAGTTTACTCGATGTTACACCTTGTTAGGCACACAAGCCTGTTAAGCTGATCAAGTTCCCCCTAGACAATAACTATCTCCAGAATGCAGACCTCAACAGTTGCCTAACTTGCAGGTACCTATTTACTGCTAGGAGAACAGAAGAATTGGGTGTAAGGAAACATACCCCTGCCAGTTAATCAAACTTGGGTCTAATCAATTACAATCACTGTGCTACACGTCATTTTGCATTTAAAACTTTATACAGGGAATTATTCAGGACTTTGTATACTATGTATATCAGCTCAATTTTGAAATATATAGCACCGTCATAGAGTATGTAAATGAAGACAACGAAGCTGGTGAAAGTTCGGAGATATGCCACCAGACTAGTCCCAGAGTCGAGAGGCTTCAGTTACAAGGAATGATCTGAGGAATAAAACCTCACACAGCCGAAGATTGAACAACTGCAACATTATCATTACATAAAAAATTCTCAAGGGTTTAGACAAGGAAAACAAAAATAGACTACTATTCAGTATGGATAGTCGAGGAACAATAGGACAAAGATGGAAACTAAATACTATATCTGAATGAGCTGCCTTCTGGTGTGGTCAGAGTAGCAGCCAAGAGAACATTTTGCAATTAGCAAGAGCACTACCCAACAGTCTTTGTAATAAGTAAGGCTGGGAAAAGACTTTGCAGTATGTTCTGATTAATGCTTTAATCACTCTAAGCTGTATTAAGCATTTCTCCCTAGCACCAGCAAGACCCAACATAAATATCTGGCAAGATCCCTGTGGCACCAGCATAGAATGTTACCCAAACCCTGACTATTATGATCTAGATAGGACCTTCACTGATCTTACCTTAATTGACATCTCTTTGCTCAAGAGACTTTTCATATTAATTTCAATTCCAATTTTTGCCTGAAATGTTCTGCATATTATAGACTTACCAATATTATTCCCATGTTGCCCCTCCCCTCCCTTCCCTGCTAAGCCCCACAATGCAACCCACAACAGTTGCTTATCTCCCAGGTACCTATTTACTGACAGGTGAACAGCAGCATCAGGTAAAAGGTAACTTGAGCAGCACAGAAATGGGTGGGCAAATATTAAACCCAGGTCCCTCGGTTGTTAGCCGAGGACCTATACTATCGTTCAAAGTTTAAAATAATTTTCCAATTAGATTGAATCCACTTTTCCCAATATCAGTCTCTAGAAAATTATAAAAGATGTATATATGGAAGTGTTTAATACTTGCTTTAAACCATGTTAAGAGGTTTCATTACTCAAAAATAATTATAAACATGGTATTTCGTTACTCTAGAATAATTATAATCATGCAAATAATAGTAAAAACTAAACATTTTATTCATGGTAATTCTTCTATTGATACTGTGTGTTTTCTTATTTTTTAAATTAATTACTGTTAAATATAAGCACAATTTCAAATACTGTAACATCTTTGTTTCTAAAATTTAATATAATAATAAATAAAACAAAAATGTTTTACCCATTGTTGTCTTACCGTTTTATCAGCTAGAGTTATTTCGTAAAGATCATGGCCATCCTTAACATTTCCACAGTTACTTTTATCAAAATGTAAACTAATGTTCACAGTCATGTTTGCTTCATTTATCGGGATGCTCTTGAATATCTAGAAAGAATAAAAATACAGATAATATAAATTAAAATATTTGTTGGGGAACAGGATGCACTTCTTTGGTCCTTTACCAACTGAATATATATTTTATTTACATGCACAAAATTATAGGTCTTCCTTTACATGGTAGTTTTTTGCTGAGCTGTTTCTGCCTTTTTTTTTAAATATACTAGAGGAACAATTGTCATATTTGCAATCTACTGTTGGGGAACTACCCCTTTGTCCAGAGAATTACTGAAAAGGAATTTCAGTGGATGATACAGTTCATCTTCCAGTTCCTTTATAACTTTGGATTGAATTCCATCCACACCACAGCTTTTGAATCTTTAGTTTACCAGTGCTCTTCCTAATTATTTTGCATGTTATGAAGAATATCCTTTAATTTGTTTTCTTCCCCAGCTTCAAGCATTTATGGGGTAGTGCAATATTATCTAATCTTTTGAGTGTGATTACTGATGTAAAGCATTCATTTAGAGTTGACTGCCCTTTTGTTGTCATTTATAACTTGGTAGGATCCTGAAAAGATGAGAACAAAGACTTCTGTCTTGGTTTTACTTCCTATATAAGTATAGGAAAGATCTTATGTTTTGAGCAGGTTTTCTTCCATAGTTTCTTTTGACAGATCTGATTTCCTTGGTAGCTGAATTGAATGCCTTTCTGTATGCAAAATCTATTTAATGCTCTGCTGTATCTCTCATAATCTATGTTGTTGTTTGTGGACCGATACCTTTTCCAGAGAATGCACTTAGTTGTTAGAGCTTGGTCTTACTGCCCGAGTCATCCAGCCAATTCCCTTTCAAGGCACATATTTTTCAACAGGTTCAGTGATGACCTTTGAAATTTTCCCTGTGATGCCTCCATGCTTTGATCTCCTATTAGCTCTTCCCAGGTGTTGTTTTGCAACTATTCTCTCATTCCTTGATAGTCTTCAAGGGGTAATCTAGAAAGTCATTATCCTGGACCTTAATATGTTTCTATACCTGTAATCCATCTTAGGATATTGTGATATTGTGATCACACGAAGGGGCAAGAGTCTTTCCTACCTGGATTTGATCAATCATGCCTTCTTTTAATGTTAGTGCAAAATCTGGAATGCTATTACCTTGGGCTGGCACTTGTCACATCCTATATGAAAGCAGTTCTGTACCAGATCATGAAATTGTTGTCCTTCCATTTGTGATGTAAGATTCACCCAATCTATCGTCATGTGGTTCCTCGTTATATGTTCTTGCATTTCAAACGTAGCATTTATCATATTATTTTGGTCATATTTTGGTACTGATTTTGGTCATATTTTGGTACTGATTTTGGTCAGTACCTCTGATACTGACCAAAATGGGCAAAATGTGGTAGGTGACATATTCCCACTGTTATTTTACTATCATTTTTAGCTAGTATGTTGCACTATACAGATTCCGAGGATTCCATAGTCTTCACTTTCCCATTGCTGGTTGCATTCAAGTCTTCATTTACATACAGCATCACACCAACTGCTCTTATTGTTGTCTTTTCTAAAAGGTGGATGGTATGCTGGAAGACGAAATGTCCCTCCAATTATATCTTCTTTTTCCCCATGTTACTAGCACCAATGATGTTAGGATTCTCAGCCTCAGTGTATGCACACAATGCATCAAATTTATTTACTAGGTTTTTGGCATTTGCGTAGAAGTCATTTAAACTCCTGAAATTGGTCCTAAGACACTTTATACAGCTTAAGCTTGCATACAGTAATCCATACAGGTTATTTCATTGCTTGAGAGCTTCACTGAACCTATGGAGTTCATTCATTTGGAGAGTCCAGCACTCCCATTCACTTGCATATTCTTTCCCAGAATTATTTATCCAATGATATTATCTATGCCTTCATTCATGCAAGAAAGAGTGACTGAATATCAGTTTCCATTCTTTGAGCAGTTCTGGGCATTATATTTAATAATCATACATATTATGCAGCTGTCAAAGACAGCTGCAGGACCAGGATTTGCCAAGCATTTTCATGTCTACTTATTGAACTCTGTGCATCTTTACTCTATAATGGCAGCTTAGTCTATATTTATAAAATTGCTTACAAGTTTTGAAACACTGCGAGGTCATTATCGACCCGAGATTATTTTTGTTATGGACAACCTTGTGGTGCTTTGGAGTTCATAAACTGTTTAATAAATGTAAGCAAAGCTGCCATGATTGAGGGAGATGTACAAGTCTCTTAAGTGCACCTGTAAATGCTTCACCAACCCTGGTCCTGGGGGAACTGCTCTTGATAATCTCCTCAAGGAGAAATATTCTGTGCAAATATAGGAGTTTATCACCCAGAAGAGTTATACCAGATGACATGATGGATGGTAAGAAATGGTTTATAGGAAACTGCTAAAATGTAATATTATAGATTATATTTAGTCTTCAATTTTAAACGAAAAATGAAAATTAAGTGTTTTCTTTAACTTCCATTTTGTTCCTTGATAAATCTAACCAAGACAAAAATTTTCAGCTACTATAATCTTTTCCAAGTGATATCAAGGCTTATAAAGCAAGCACTAATTATATAAAAAGCAATGAAAAAGAATAATTTGATAATCACCAGTAAATATCCCTACATTTAACTTACATGGTCTTGTAGTTCAGGCAACGTGATACTTTTTTCGTCCCATGGAACATCAACATTAACTTCACACGGCAAACCATTGATGAATGATACTCTTGTTTCTCCACTATTCAGAGCTACAGGGTATGTTGTCTGCACGAGGGATAGCATTCATTAATTTATAACCCTAGAGTAGTGATATTCAATGAATCAGACATATTAACATACCTACTGTACTTAAAATTATCTGTTAGATTAAGGACCTGCCCGAAACGCTGCATGTACTAGTGGCTTTACAAGATTGTAAATACTATGCTATGTATTCTCTCTAACCCAATGTACCTTCTTGTATATAAATAAATAAATAAATAAATAAATAAATAAATATTAAATTTAATGCACAATGTTTTACACACTAGCACACACAAATGAAAAAATTATACAAATATAAGATGGGATCAAACCCACATTCCTGAACTCAGGCACACTCGCTTCTAATGGGTTAGATCCCCTCATATGGCTTCAATATTTTCTCAGATATATGAACCCCTTGTGATTTCATTATACTGTATATACAAACACAGATTAGCAATAGATACTCCCATTGGGAAGCAAAGTTTAATCAGAAAGAATAATGGCAGGGATAAGATTATCATATTAATATAGTAATTTATTGCCAACATTTCAAACCTAAGTTCATAAACGGAAGTAAAAGTCAAGTGTAGTGAAGCACTCCTTTCTGAGCTGATCCCTCGGATGCTCACCAAGTAATTATCAAAAGAAGATGCCAAGCCTTGGGGGACCGTGTAGCACCATCAAAATTTGGTGATTGGAGAGGTCAGAAAGAGTAGCATGTAGGGTGAATATATTCCAGTCAGCCTTGGCAAACTGCTGCTTAGGGAAGGAGAGGGAAGGGTGAAAAGAGAAGGTGATAAGGATGGGCAAATCGTTACTGTTATGGAGGTCATCAAGAACCTGCCAAGTGAAATCTAAATAAAGTGAAGATGAGCAGAGGGAAAGATCAAGACAGGGAGGGTGCGAGTGTGTGAGTCAACATGAGTGGGTTCACCAGAATTCAGAAAAGACAGAGAAGAAGAGGGGGGACTAATGGTTTCAGAAGGCGGCACCCGGAGTTTGTCAGAACATCGCCCGAGAGGGTAAGCTGACAGTTAAAATCACACAAAAGGAGCACAGGCTCAGGTAAGGAGTCCAACAGGTGATTAAAATCAGGAAGAGATAGTGAGATATTGGGGGAGAGGTAAATAGAACAGACTGTATACCATTTACGTACTCACAATGATGATAAACTCAAGATTTAGTACCTATCTTCTCTCAAGATATATTCTTTCCTTATTTATCAGCAATAGCTTCAGTCTTTTCTGCTCCTCTTACTTCATACCTCTTAATTTGGAACCATATATTTCTCAGTGCATGATAACTTGGCTAGAACCTTTACCCCCCCCCCATAATAATTTGAACCATTCAGTTTTACAATGTTTCCTTTTGGTTATTGTTGTTCAACCCTACATTCCTCCCTCTTTTACTCTGACTACTTTGTCAGGGTGTGACCCACAACAGTCGATTGACTCCCAGGCACCTATTTCCTGCAAGATGAACAGTCGCATCAGTTGAAAGGAAACAATCACACGTGTGCGTTCTGCTAAAGAAATTAAACCTGGGACTTCTCAACTGTGACCTGACTGCACTGAGATACAGGACATAATTAGTCAGGTAATGACTACTGTATATATTAGTAATAGGTAAAAGTGGTGATGAGAAATAATTTGTTTTGTCTGGCACAGGAAGTCTGTGTGAATATATGCAATATATATACTATAGGTTTGTATCGAAGTCCCACCCAAGGTTGAATTACTGATCCTCCACTGAATACAACCTCACAACAGTTGCCTAACTCTTAGGTACATATTTACTGCTAGGTTTAATTTCACTGTGACGGAGAGGCAAAGAACATATACCCAGTCTAAACATAATTTTCATATTTAATGATTATATGCTGTGGACACAACTTTGCAGGGCAGTTTTTATAGAATGAAACGATATAGAATGAACCATTAGCGAGTATTGCAGCAGTCACAACCTGTTGGACCGGAGTTTGATTCGTGGGCGGCACAAGACATCTGAGTAAATTTCCTTACACACAGTGCCCCCGTTTCCTTAGCAATAAATAGGTACCCGAGAGTTGGGCAACTGTTACCCTTAGGGGGACCTCAATAAGCATAGTGGATTTCCTTTCTCTCACATTGGGAAATCATAAATTGGCAGATCAAAAAATAAAATACGTACATACGAAAAGTGGTAATATTCCCTTATCTGATTTTACTCAGGGGCCACCATGTTTAGTGGCCTCTATGGGGACAGGAAGCAGGCAACTTGTTAAAAGTCAAGATCTAGAAGGGAGAGATTGTAACCTCTGAAAATACCTGCCTGAAGCTTAAGTTCTAAGAATCCTGAGACGAGGAAAGCCACTCCTGCCAAGACACCACCAACAAACATCCTCGGTAGTTGTCTCTTGAGTAGATTGCAGCGAGCCAGCAGAGGATACACAAAGGTATCAAACACTGGGATAAATAGTAGGATGAACAGTGGGTTCACTACCTGTGTAAAAAAATTTTTGTTTTTAAATGTTATAATTAGAAATTCTTTCTATTTACAGTATTATACAATATGTGCAAACTAGTTACCCAATATGTAACCACTTTGACTTATCCAATATATTGTGTACCGTATGAATAAAATATTAATTACTGTATAATTATTATTATTATTAGTATACACTTGTACAGGCTTGCTCATTTGACCATAACATGTATAATAAATTAAACCTATGTACAATGTAACTGTATATGCAAGATTTTTAAGCAATCTATAAACCAAAGGAAATCAAGTTATTTTAAAAAAGATATAAATGACATACTTGCATCTGGTCTGGCTTCAGTGTATATTCACCAATTTGTCCATCCATACGAGTTGCTTGAAATGTCCACCTTGACCCCTAGATGAAGTACAGTAATAGCATTTGAAATATTAATACATTAAGTTCTATTTTGTATTGAAATTAAGTTTTAAACACAATACAAACTTTAAACTATAAAGTGTTTATACATTTAAGGGTTTATGAAAAAAAAAATAAAGTAAAAATACTTTAGGTATACAGGTATATGTATCTACATATGTATATGTATCTAGGTATATATATATGTACTGTAAGTATATGCTTCCTGGGTGTGGAGGCCTGGTCGAGGACCGGGCCGTGGGGACACTAAAGCCCCGAAATCATCTCAAGATAACCTCAAGATATGTGCCAGGTTATAAATTATAAAAGAAAGAACCATAGCCCTAGTTTGCGCTAATGACACATAGGTTCATGATGTTACATGCACGAGGTTTATATAGCTGGTAACAAACCTGTTGATCAAACAAGGCCCAGAAGAATGGCAGTGGAATATACAGCAAGAGAATTTTGAGCAAGACTTTAACATCGTTAATGAGTTCCTTGTCGAACTTGTCACTAGCATGATCTAACCAGTGGTTCTTCTTTTCTTTTGACTTGAATTTCCGGGAGATTGCGTGCTGAAAGAGAAAAAACAGGTTATGGTTGTCCAACATAAAAATGTCAAGATAATACATTGTATATTTTTTTCTTACAAAAAAAAAAAAAAAAAAAAAAAAAAAAAGAGGGGTAGGGGAGGGGTTTGACTTAAAATATGAAATAAATTCAAATTACTGGCTGTTCGTATTAATCCATTAATATTAAAAAAAAAAAAAAAAAAAAACAGCGGTGACTGTAATGAAACGCCATTTTCTGGGTGAGTCCTGGAGGATCCCTGGAGCTTTCCATGGCTGATATGGATACCCTAACAATTTTGCATCAGTCAATGTAGGTGGAGTTCTAGGCCTACCGGGGACCACGAGACAGAATCTGGCCCCCTCACAGTGGCACGAGGAGCAATTGTCTGGTGTCTGGGGCTCCCCCTTCCCCCCCCTCCCCGGGAGGGTGAAAGGGAAGCCCCAGACCCTCGCGCCGGCGATCCCCACCCCAGTTCCTCGGCTGATGGGATCGTGCACAGTCGTGTGGCTCCAGTTCCAATCTTCTCTCAGTGCTGTTTGTTGTTTTCAGTGCTGCTCTTATGGTGGTAATGTGAGCCAGGAGTAATATTTCAGGTACTCGGACTGCATGTGCTTAGGGTCTCCTTCCCTGAGTGCCCTGTAAGTACCACCCTTGGGGCTTGGGGTTCCCTTCCACAAGTTGCCTTCGGTCTACCTCTGTTGGCCTTTCGCTGCTTGGCATTTGGCCGCCCCGAGTGTGTGGAGGTTTTCCTCTCTTGTTTGCCTTGAGGTAAGTGGTAGTTACTGCACTGATGGGGCGCAGGGTACTGCGTAGCTAGTTTTCACCTATAACAGCAGCTGGCTCTGTTCCCTCTGGGTACGTTGTCCTCTTGCATGTCCAAATCACATGTGCATTTCTATGGGCCATTGCTCCTCGTGCCTCTGTGAGGGGGCCAGGTTCTGGCTTGTGGTCCCTGGTAGGCCTAGAACTCCACCTACATCGACTGATGCAAAATAGTTAGGGTATCCATATCAGCCATGAATAGCTCCGGAGAGCCGTAGGGGCTTCCCCCAGAAAATTGAGTAAAATACAATAATCATAAACAAACTTTCACATTTAAGTCAATAAATCAATGAAATAATATAATGTTAGAGATAATACAACTACAATAAGTTGAATAAATCAATAATTATAAATTTGAACACATAGTATTAATGTCACATTTTAATCCTAATGTCACAACCTTCAACTCAATAGTTTCTTTTATACATTGCTATGATTATATCTAAATTGTTTTAAAAATTTTCAGTTATACAGCATTTTATAACTCGCTTTCTTCTGCACTTTTCCTCTAGTTTTGTGCAAAAAATTATTTACTAAATTCTGTACTTTAAACAATACTGTATGATCTAATATGCCTGAATGTGCAATCATAAAACTTCAATCTTCTCAAGTTTAAGCCACTGCTATATTGTCAATATGGAAGAGTATAATATCAAATTTCAGTTATCCTTTGTTTCTCATTACTTGACTTCTTTCCTTTATGTAATTGGGAAGACATGGTAGCCCCTTATACATGCATTTTTTACAAAGAAGTTAACTGCCTTCTTGAGATGAGGTTATCTTGAGATGATTTCGGGGCTTAAGTGCCCCCGCGGCCCGGTCCTCGACCAGGCCTCCACACCCAGGAAGCAGCCCGTGACAGCTGACTAACACCCAGGTACCTATTTACTGCTAGGTAACAGGGGCATAGGGTGAAAGAAACTCTGCCCATTGTTTCTCGCCGGCGCCTGGGATCGAACCCAGGACCACAGGATCACAAGTCCAGCGTGCTGTCCGCTCGGCCGACCGGCTTCCTCCAATTATGTTAAATATCTCATCAAGCAGGCTCTTCATACACTCAGATCCCTATTACAGTACAATAATCATTATAGCCTTCCAATTTTGTTGTTAACTCTTACCATTCTTCTTATTTAACATTCCTCACGGGCAACATACCCATCCACAGCTGCATTCAACTTTTATATCTATATTTTTCTCATCAACCAGCTGTTTCATTTTTTAGCTGCAGCTAGAATATTCTGTACTTTTCCACAATGTAGTTTTAGTTCTGCATAATCCTAATCACCTCTAAAAGCATTATTTTTTACCCATTTAATTTAGATCATTCATTTTTTCATCTCGTCTATTTTCTCATCTTTAAGACCTAGCAGTCCTTGTTTTCCATTTAATTTGAATAATAAAAATGAAGTTCACATTATTCTTAACTTTTGCAATCTACAGTGTAAATACTGTATTGTTTATATAGTTCAGTACTGTATAGTATGGTATGGTACTTAATATTCCCTAAATTATCTACTGTCATATCCAAAATTCATGAATTTAAAATTGATATCTCAATTTAGATAAAGGGAGCAAAAGGGTACTTTATAAAAAATGCAGCATTGAATGCAATTAAGTGCATCTTTTTAGTAAAGTCCCAGTATCTCCATCAGGAAGTCACCAGGGCTGTACTAAAAAGAAGTGTTTTGTCACATTTAACACTGGCTTTCTGGGAGGAGCCTCAGGGAGCCACCAAGGGCTTCTACCCCTAATAATGATACTATCGGCCAGAATCTTTGCCACCTACCGCTATGCAGCGACAGACGTCGGTCAATGCACTACCATTAGCTGGATACATCTTGTACAGCCGTGTAATGTATCCAAGCACAAAGATTACTGAAGAACATGCATAGAAGAGATTGTTGTATTAATCATGCAAGAAGCTTGAAAGACATTAGCACAATTTATTAATTGACCAGTGAAAAAAATAATATATATCATGCACATGCAAAATGCCTATACTGTACTTAAGCTTACAACTATAATTGCATACAATTAAGTGCTCAGAAATTCTTAATAAATTACTGCATTTACTTGGTTTCATTATGTATTAGTTTAAGATTTAAATGAAATGCTGCATGCAGAGAATGTGCCAGTAATGTGATTGACAATAACTAGCCCAACCTACATATGGAAAAAGAAAGGAATGTGACGATATTATGGTCTGTCCTGGATGCCTGTTAAGTTAACTGATTTGATAAGGGTCCAGGATGGACTGAAACATGTCACATTCAATTCTTTTCATATGTGGGGATTTGGTTATCTAAACACTATAGGCTCCGCATAAATTTACTTGAGGGCCACTACAACTAGGTGGCCTTGATGAGGACAGGAAGCCAATGGCTTGTCAAAGGTTCCCCCCCCCCCTCCACTTACCCTTATGATTCTTTCCAGTTGGATTTTAAAATTTAACACTTTCGGCATTTACAGCTTCGGCGAGTAGGCGGTTCCATAGATTTATAACACTGTGGGTTAAAAAGCCTCTCCTGTTCTCAGTCCTACATTGTGGCTTATTGAGCTTGAATTGAAACCTTAGCTCCTTATTTGTGTTATATCTGACCATTTGAAGAAATAGGATCAACATCCTCCAAATTGTTCAATATATTAATAAAAGTTTCAATGAGATCTGTCCTATCATGCCTGGTTTGCAGTGTTGTTAGCCCTGTGGCCTGTGCGACACTAAAACTTTCCCAAAAATTGCTATAAAAATGTAAACTATTTGTAAAGTTTCCACAAGAGGACTAATATCACCTAGAATCCTAGATGAATGAGGTGGTTGACCATGACTAAATTATCATCTGCATTATCAAAACACATTTTACAGTTATAGTACTCCATTAGCTAGTTTATTATAGTACATGCATTATTATATGTCCTTTGGCACTGCCCCCACACAGCAGATTCGATTTTACCATTTTGTTTAAAATATTTAAAGAAAAATACACACAGTATAGAACTGTAATTTTAAGTACAGTGGACCCTTATATAATTTTAAGTTTATTTTCACCAGTATTTTAAGCATTTTCACCAGTATGCAGTTGTTTTAATTTTTATTTAGCAAATAGCTTTTATACTATGTGCACTATTATCTTACTATATAGTATAATGGATGCTTGTGTGTCCACTCGGAGAAAGATGACCAAAAACTTGACGCCATATCCGTCCAGTGCATGTACACGAATTAAATTTTGACCCTACACTTGCATATATATAAATGCAGCTAGCTGCGAGTTAATGATCTGGCATTTATCAATCCCATACCATCCCCACACATGAAGTGGATGTGGTACCACATCCACTTCTGCCTCCCCTAACACCACTCCTACCCTCAGTCCCTCTCCCTCCCACATCCTCCATCCTGCCCTAATCCATCCACTCTCCCACTCCTAATCCCCCCTCTCTCCCACCCCACCCCCCATCTCCCACCCAAACTCTTCTGTCTTGCCACTGGAAGAAAACTAGGAAATTTTCAGCCATGACCCAACTGTGCTTACCACTGCACCACAAGAAACAGCAGTGGACAACAATGAATAGGGTCTAAGACTTGGTCCAGCCTTTCTGAGAATGGACCTATTTTCCAAGGCTAAAAAGACCCCCAAAGGGGTCGCAACCCACTGGTTGGGAGCTACTGCTCTACAGCGTCAATACTCTTTAAACAAACTTAACGAAAAGAAGAGATCAAATGTTGAGTTTATACACGGTGTGCACAAACTATGTGATGTTACTATGGAATCATACTGTTCATGCTGGTATAGGTTTTGGATTCTGCCCAGAAAGATCTTATTACCCACTATGTAAATATTGAACTCTTACTATATTTATTGAAATAAGAAATAGGACTTAAACAATCTTGGCTCAAGAGCATGCAAGTTTTCTCGAGGAGCTTTACATTGTCAAGTGAAAGTCTCAGCAACCTACCCTCTTAATAACACCTATCAAACAATAATTTATTGTAACCAAGATGCAAAATATTTGAAACCAAAGTTTTTTATTAAAGTAAAAAATGATTATGTTATTACTATAATCTGATGCAGTAAACTGTAAAAAATATTATGAGTTTCAATGAAAATGTGGTAAACATGTCTTCAGGTTAATGTAACAGATATGCATACAAATGTTGTACATAACTAGTAGCTTTATAAATTACATTATAATTACTATTTATGAAATACTATCAGATAGCCAAGTAGAGCAATAGTTATTTTCAACAAACATCTTTTTTAAACTAAGTTAGGCTGTGAATTATTGTCTGGTAGTTGTCAGGACATGCATATACTCTATGACGACAAAGCAATTAAAGAAATAATAATCTAAATTTTACAATTACAATTGCACCAAGCATCATAGTAAGTTAAATGTACAGAACATTGCAGTCTTTTATATATTTTTATCTTCTTTCGTTCTATACAATGTCTCGGCAACAATACATAACAGAATTATTGCCTCAAACCAAAACAAGCAAATTCATAATTATAATAATCCCATCACCAAGAAGATGCTATTTCTGGCCACTCAGAATACAGAACTCGTAATCCCATCACCAAGAGGAGGCTATTTCTGGCCACTCAGAATACAGAACTCATAATCCCATCACCAAGAGGAGGCAATTCCTAGCCACTCACCATGGTACAGGTCCCCACCCGCAACAGAATGTTACCCTCTGGAGGCTTCATCGTGTACATCGAATATCCACCCAGGAACAGACCTTTAGAATATTAATTACCGTTATAGTAATGAGCATTAAATCAGAGGGACAAATTGCCCAATTTTTTTCAAGCAACAAGCTACCTCAACCATACTAAGTTTTTTTTGGGGAGTAACTTTAACCAGTTAGAACAAATTGCCCCAGAGGAAAGTTATTAAAGTTTGCAAAAATTTGTGTACTGTAACTGGGTCTCTTAAAACTCAAACTTTGTGTTCTACTGCAATAATTATCTCCATTAGATTCTGCTGCATATGAAATTCATATATAGATAATGCAAATATTAAACCCTGTTCTAAGAAAAATATCTCGATTTATTAAAGAACATTGTGAATCTTTTAATCAAGAAACATATTTCCAATTCAAGGCGAGTTCCAATGTCATCTCATAAAAATCCTCAACGATTTGTTGAATTATAGGATGAATTAGGAAAACATTGCTTATGAGTGAATCACCAAAAAGGAACTTTTCATACTTTGTGCTATCAATTCAAATGTTATTTTGCAATGAATACTATAGTAAAAATCTGCATTAGCACCCAACTAATGTAGGACCGCATGACAGTGAAACCTACAGTGTTTTTTTTAAACATTTTTAAGATCTCTAAAAATATGTAATTCACAGAAAATAGTCAAGTTAACTTGCAGTTTATATATGTTAGAATCATTAGTCTACTTAGAATACTGTATATTAAATATGCTAGAATTTTTATCAACATTTACTGATAAAGCTTTAAAAAAGAAAAAAAGCAGCTAAAATACATTTCCTTAGTTTGAGAAACAAGAATGAACACAAAACGCATTCATTTTATCAGATCCAAACTTTAGGAACCTTTATTTCATCAGAGCATCACTGATTGAAAATGCAGTCTGTCCTCTTATTAAATGCACTACACATTTTTCTTGTAATTGTAACTACTATAACATTTGCAGTGGTTCAGGGAAATTAAACAATGCCACAATACTGACATTTCCTGGGACTATCGAGTATCGGCTACTGCATGTTAAGCGAATTGGCTAGTTTTAGATACTGTACTTTTGGTTTGGTTAAACCAAAGCATTTTTTATGGAGGGGAAATCGAAAGAATGGTCTTCCTGAAGCTCAGTGGTCTACATCCTCGGCTCATAACCAAAGACCCTGGATTTGATTTCCAGACAAGACACACAGTTAGGCACATTTCCTTTTACCTAATACCTCTGTTTACCTAGCAGTAAATAGTACCCAGGATTTGGGTAACTGTTGCAGGTTGCATTCTGGGTAAGGTTATCAGCAGTTAGCCTAGGAGGACCTCTATAAATTTAACAGGCTTCCTGTCCCTGACTATGGAAAATCCTCAGGTGAACATGTGGGATAGCTAGTAAACACCTAGACCAGAGAACATGAATAAATTTACTATCAGAACTGGTCAAACTCCTAAAGCACATTTCGTGCAAGATTTAAACCATTTGAGTGGGTTGCTATACTGTATAGTTGTAATGGTTTAGTGATTTGTCCTGATAATTACCCTACCTTGATTGGTAGGATTAAACCAAGAAATATATTATAGTGCATATACTAAAATCTGGAGACATGTTTGGCTCTACTGAATCCTTTAATAATAAAGGTAGTATGTGCAACAAAATACTTGTTTAAATACTTGTTCAGGATTAAATGAAAAAGTTTTAAAATTTGTAGGAAATGCAAGAAATCTGAAGTTATGTAATCTGCAGTTCTCTGAATCAATGCTTCTCTTAATGTTTAACCCTAAGATGTCATGTTACAGGTCAATGGCCTTCATTCTAGTTATGGCCTAGAAGCATATTGTCTACTTCACTTTTTTCCCCCCCTTTTTTTTCATTTTACCTGAGTTTACCTGTTTACTTGAGGGTCACTATCTCCCTAGTGGCATCAATGAGGACAGAAAGCTGGCTGCTTGTCAAAAGTTTCCCAAAACCCCCTTTTGTTCTGACGATTTTATTTACTGTATTTGGATCCAAAATTGTAGCAGGGTTTTCGTATTTATGGGTTTGGCTGGCAGGCAGTTCCATGGGTTTATAACCCTATGGGAGAACAAGCATCTCCTGTTTTCTATCCAACATTGTGGCTTCTTGTAATTGTAGCATTTATTCATAAAATATACATACATATATAAGAACATACCATGATGGTTTATTTGAAGGTGCAGAGGATGCACTCTGTACATCCGTATGTACAGATGTACATAAAGCTACTAATATGCAAAGCATTTCAGGCATTATTTTAAATAATTCAGTCAAATTAGGTCATTAAACCTGGGGATAAACACTTAATATAGTAATTCTATTATATCTTAATAATGGGCTAACCCTTCCACTGTGGCATTTATTGGGGGGGGGGGGGGGAGGGCAACCTTCCTTGCGAGGCTTTTCTAACAAAATTCAACAAATAATTCAAGCTTAGGAAATTATCGAGGAAATGATGATGTATTTAAGAAAAATAAACAAATAATTTAGATGCCATGGTTTGCTTGTGGTAGTTCGTATAGTGTAATCGTATCACATTCATTCCACGAGTGAGGTCTGTAGTAAAGGTTAATATCGGAAAGTGCTCTGAATTATTGTTTCCTATTTATATAAATAAAATAAAGGATGTTAAGTACTTACAAAGAGCAATCAACATCAGAACTGCTGGAACTCCAAATGCAAGAGAATAGCAGTCACTGCCAAAGCAGTGGATGTTATCTCTCAGGATAGGAGTTACGTATGTAGAAATTAATGAGCCAGCATTGATACTGTAGGCGAGAATTTAAAGCTTCAAATTAAGAGGCTATTAAATGCACTTAAAAGTTATATTCATGCCTATAATTCTTATCTATGTATTCATAATATCTAATTTAAAAGTTTTGAAACTTTTTGAAACCTATCACAGATTTATGGTTGAACATCATGCCTTTCCTTTGTCCTATTCCAAATCCTTATCCCTTCCAAGTGCTATATAGTCAAAATGGCATAGTGCTTTTTCCCGATATTTATCCTGCCTTAACTTATACAGTATAACCTAAATTGGTAAAATCGAGTAGTGAAGAAAAGAGCAAAAATGGACAACACAGTTTAATTAAAAAATTTTGCATCCTGAATGAAATGACCGGGACTGTCAAGTGCCAACAATGGCATCAATACTTCACTGTTATTCTTATTTTATGGTTGACACTCGAGAGAAAGAGCTTCAGAAATGGCTTCGATGTCTTCATTTATTTATGGAATAATAATCTCATCATCTTATATAATTTCCTTTCCTCCCATTACTGTATTCTATCATTAGGTCATAGTTTTCCATCTTTATTATGTGAATAATAGAAACATTTCTCTGCCTTGCCTTTATTTTATACATGATTAAATATTTATACTTTTTAGACCACTGGAATTTTATCATCCTTCTCTTGGGCCCCCCTAGACGTTTATCAACTCCCTGTCCAGTTCTATTGATATCTGCGGTCTATATTGGTCACTGGGGGTCACTGGAGGTCACTTGGACCCAATTAACCAATTCTCTTATATGGCATGACAGATTAAGCATGACTACTACTATTTGACAAATTTTTAATCCAAATTTAAAAGGGCATCGTGCCCATTAAAAAAAAAAAAGGCAAACTTCCGTGAGTTATATAGGGAAAATATTTTAATTGACATGCAATAACACACTTTTTTAATTGTGCCTAGTTCTCTCTTTTTGTTAAGGCAAATAATAACTCCTTTACTTGTATGACACCATCAACATTTTACAAATACTGAAAATGTTCAGTAATTATAATACTAGCAACTAAAGATTGTCAAGATGCTTCGGGGGGTATGCTGTTCAGAGGGTAAGGTACCTAAACCACACAGACAACAGTAAACAAAAATGATGAATAGAATATACAGTAACTGACTGACTGGACTCCTACCTGAAGTAAAAGATGGAGAAGAACTGTGTCAGCTGCCGTTCTTGCTGAGGAACTACAAACTGGTCTCCTCCAAAGGCTGACACGCAAGGTTTAATGCCTCCTGTTCCAACTGCTATCAGAAAGAGTCCAGTTAACGACACTCCTCTGAGGAAAGAAAACATATCTATAGTCTACTGTAGTAGTACTAGAGAATAAACACATACAAGAGAGGTATGTGGTTAAGATGAGAAAATTTCACCTTGCAAGCATTTGTGAGAGTAAGATTAAATTATGAAATGATTATCTGAAAGAAGATGTCAAGTAATACTGGCCTTACTAGATACAGTACTGATAAATGAGGAAAAAACTTTAGATTATAAAGTAGGTAAAATTATTTAATGACAAGGCTTAATTATACTGTATAACAAATTAGGATCATATGAAATGCTGCACATGATAATGGATATATAAAAAATACTGAATAAATACTATGTAAATATCATTCTTGGCTCTCAATCAGGAATTCTGGGTTCACATCCTGGGTGGGACAAATGGTTGGGCACATTTCCTATCTGTGGAAATATTTCTACAGATATTTGTTGTCTATCAACAAATTTGAGCCTGTGTTTCCCACACAGTAAATATGTACCCGGGAGTTCGTTACCCTGGGAAGGGTCAGTAATTCAATCTTGGCAGGACCTCGATATCAGCCTAACATACGTATATGTGTGTGTGCGTACATACACACACAAGAGTTAAGCCCCCTACACACAAGGGGGCATAACTGGTTGGCCTCTCATGTTTCATGACAGACCTTGATAAACAACTCCAAAAGATACCTGATAAACAAGACTGTGATTCATATGTCAGGCTGCTAGCAGCCACATCAAACAGCCTGGTTGACCAAACCACCAACCAGGAGGCCTGGTCAGAGATCGGGCCATGGGAAAGTTGATCCTCAGAATCACCATAAGCTAACAATGCAAGGTAACCCAAGAACTCTGATCAATCAGAAGAATACAAAACCGGCACTAATCAGAAGTTTTTTCTTATATCATTTTTGTGCCCCAGATGCACAAGAAACATGAACATAAGGGAGGAGCCGATTCTCTCCATCACATATGAAAGAAGAAAGAATTGTGCAGCTAAACACAACCTTCTGTATCAAGGTCGTAGTATATTCACATTTTCTCAATCTCGGAGAATTTTTCCTTCATCTACAAATTTTCTGAATGCAGGTTTTAGTGACAAAGACAGTTCATTTGCCAGTTTCTTCAGAATTTTGAATTTAAGTCTATTCACACCTAGAGCTTCATAGTCCTTTAATTTGTCAATGCTATGGGATTTGGGAAAGAGCTGTCTACTGTGGGAAGCTGAAGCTGAGCTGTGGGAAAGAGCTGACTGTCTGTCAGAAAGAGCCGAGTATAATGTCAAGTAACATACACAACAAAGGGGACAAGAATTAACTGCTCGGCTGTTCAGGCAACATCATCATCACACAAGATATACCGATTGCTGCACAAGCTATACCACCTGTAGCAATGATCAAGGGGAAGCAGAAACCGGGTAATCACAGAATGATTATGAGGAATAAAGAATGATATAGACAGGATATAAATACACAGCAAAAAAATATTATACAATTCATGATATACTGTACATGAAAAGCATGTTATAAACAAATCCTATGAATTAATGTTTAAATACTTACATCTTTGCACCAAGGTCCGGGAAAATGGGAGGCACAGCAGAGATGGAAAGAACAGCATTTCCCATCACATAGATAATGGAGATGTAAAAAATTGTCCTTGAAAAAAATAAAAAAAAACAATTAGGAAAATATTTTAATATGAATATATATTTTGCTTCAGTATTAACACTTCATAGTTCATGAAAGATGACGGACAAGCTTTAATATTAATTTTATTATTAATTTTATTATTATTATTATTAAATATTGACAATATTGGCAATATTACAGTATTTAATATTGCCAAAGTACAAAATGTTTCTACTATAAAGTATATTGTAGGTTAATTACTACTGTTTTATTGGTGCTTTGATGCAGATAACTGTATGCTGTGGCTCAATAAATACAGCGACCTGCAGCTAAAACATGACCCAGGACAATCTTATTACAAGCATCCAAAACAAAGATAGTATTTGTCTTAGAAATTTATACAAAATTATATGCATAGGCACCCAACCCACAAATTAGAAAATAAACGAAGTACATGTAACAACATTTCAGCTTGTCCTGAACCATTACAAAGTTGTGTAATGAAAAATGGTAGAAAAAATAATTTTACATGGTATGTAAGGTGAATGGTAAGAAGGTTGAGGTCTTAGAATAGGATTGAAAAGCAGTATAGTAATAGGGTTGAAGTATGGTAAGTTCCATTATTTCATAATATGGCATAATGTTCATGTTCAGATTCTAATGCTCCTTTCAGAGATGATAAGTTAGCCAAAGAATCTGCCTTTAAAGTAGAAATTGAGTATAACCTTGGATTGTCAGTAAGCAATACAACACATTGCTAAAAAAAAAAGTCTCAAAAATAGTCAGTATATTTTCTAAAATCAGATATTATGTTCCCCAATCTGCTCTCCTCTCATTATACACCACACTAATCTATCCCTATCTTATATACGGTATCTGTTCATGGCGTTCGTCCACTGACAATTATCTCAAGCCTATCATCACTCGGCAAACATCTGCTATCAGAACTATAACAAACTCTGTCTTCAGGCATCACACAGCCCCTCTGTTTAAGTCCCTTAACATGCTAAACATACACTCGCTCCACACATTCTCATGTGCTATTTACATGTTCAAAGCCTTATTCCTAAATGCTAATCTCGATCTGAAACTTTTCCTTGATAGGTGTCATAGACTCCATAAGCACCACATCAGAAATAATTATCTCTTTGCTATCCCCAGAGTCAGGCTAAATCTGTGCAAACACTCCATGCAAATAAAAGATCCAAATCTTTGGAACTCGCTCTCTAATGAATTAAAAAATGTTCCAACCTATACCTTGCTCAAAAGAAGAAAACAAAAATTACCTAATTACATATTCATAGTTTCCTACTTTGTGCTTCAAACTCACACTGTTCTTATACTACCCACGTCCCCAATATTAGTACAGTACTTGAGACTTATTAAGTACTTCATCTCTACCCGTGTAATCACCTCTGTCAATTTATATTGTTGATAAAAAACCTTACTACAATGTACTTTTTCACCTTTCCTGATATGTTAGATTAAGGACTTGCCCAAAATGCTATCCATTAGTGGTTTTGCAAGGATGTAAAAATATCACTAATGTAATCTTGCCAACCCATTATACCTTCTTGTAAATATTATTATTATTATTATTATTAATTATTATTAAGCAGTCTGAGAGCAATAGTGCACCAAGAACTTCAACAAAATCTTGTAGATCTGAGGCAAAGTGAAATCGATACAAGTAATTCCATCTTATCATCATACTATCATGCAAGAGGAGCCACACATCTATGGATCATCCAATAAAATCAGCAGACTTCTAGATGTTACTACTGCTTGGCTTAAGACTCGGTTACAAGTATCTCTGGGAATTCTCATTAACTGCTGATATAGACCTAACCAAGTGTAAACTGTGTCAACAAAATTATTCGCACACCCTCCATCACTATGTGATGGAGTGCAAAAACATACATGAATTCTAAAACAAATGTTCCAGAGGTGTGTAAATACTTCGTTCAAGATGATTTGCTACCAGAAATCTTAGCCAAATATCCCCAGTTTGCTAACTGTAGATAGTAAGTAAATGATTGTAACCTATCCACCGCTGCCCACTGGATGGGGGCGGTGTGCATGATAAACATATCAATTGTGACACTAGATCTCCACATATGTCAGTTGCTTAATTTATAAATCGTACTTGTGGCCTGTCTTGAGCCCATTGTTGATGTTAAGATGTGCATTGAATTTTGTAACTAACTAATCAAGACTGTAACTTGCTTAGCTAAATGAATTGTGGGGTTCAGTCCCTGAGCCCATTATGTGCCTATGTAACCCTTTCCACTACTGCCCACAAGATGGGCATGGGGTGCATAATAAATGAACTAAACTAATCTCTCAGTATATGAAATTAATCCCAAAGATATTTACAAAAGATAGCAGTGATTAAATAATAGTTTAAAATAAAATACTGTAGCTGCATTCTTGACAATATAACCAAAACTAAATACAGCAGAATAGTTCCATAAATGGTTAGTGGGCTGTTCTCTTAAGGAGACCTAAGGATTCCTCTCTTGCCATTCTCCTAGTGGGGTCTCGAGATTCCTTATACATGAGAATCTAACCAATCACAATACATTTGATAAACTTCACTAGGCTTAATTGCAGTACATCACAAAACAGCAGTTTACGTACCTGAAGCGCCCTAGGAAGGTGTCTGCAATGATGGCACCCAAGATTGGAGTAAAATAACAGAGCATTGACCAGACATGGTATATGACTGTGGAGTCATCTTCAGAATATTTAAGTTCATTGTGAAGGTATAGCGTCAAGATAGCTGTGGGGGGAAAAATATCCAATTAAATGTTAAAATCAAGTAGGTATTATCTACAACATTTATACTTAACGTACAGTAACATTTACTGATGCTTTGCAAGAATGTACCACTTAATCACCAACATATGTACAATACTTTCACAACCCATGTAATGGGTTGTGAAAGTTGGTTGTGGCAACTCTGGTGCAATTGTAGGGATCCACAGCCTCGAAGAAGAAAATAAAGAGTATTCAGAGAAGACCTTGTGGATTCTCACTGAATACTTTAATCTTTTCCTCTCCTACCACCCTTATTATTATTTTTTTTATTTACGAGGTAAATTTGTGGGTAAAATAAATTGGATTTGTGGAACCAATTACCACGAAACGTAGTGGAGGTGGGGTCCCTCGATTGTTTCAAGCATGGGTTGAACATGTATATGAGTGGGATTGGGTGGTTATGAATAGGAGCTGCCTCGTATGGGCCAATAGGCCTTCTGCAGTTACCTTTATTCTTATGTTCTTATTACATTCGACGTTGGGTTTCTGTGGAAGCCCCGCGGTGGCTCCCTGTTGCTATCTTGCCAAGACTGCTCCAATCTGCTAGTCACATCAGTTGCACAAGTTTTTTTTTTTTTGGCCTACTGGGGATCACAGCCAAAACATCCTGGCCTCTCACACGAGGCGGAGGGAGCAAATGGCATGCTGCCAGTTCACCATGAAAGCATCCAGAAAGTCAGCAAAGCTTTACAGACAACTGCTGGGTTCAACTGACCCAAATCCACTAAATTGACAAATAACTCCACAAATAAACAAAATAAAACGCTCAAAACTAGGTATAACCAGTTAGAACCAAGTGCTGCCAATAGGCGGCCCGAAGTTTTAAATTTTGCCCCGAGGGGCGAGTTTATTGGGCAGCGCCACTCATCTTGTGAGTGGACATACCGCCATAGCAGCATGTACAACACTCCCCAATAGGAAGAAAACCCGCTGGGTTGTTCATCCTGTCAGCCCGAAGCTTGGTCCGGTGTCAGGTCAGTTCATCTGCTGCTGCGTAGCCTTGAGCAAGGCAGTAGTGCTCCTTTGTCGCATCACACTTGTACTATAGTACAAGAACTTATATTTTTTTTGCTGGTGTATCGCTTCATTATAGTATTTGTTTCATGTACATGTTTTCTGTCCAGTTTTGTTGTGTGGACTTAAGACTTTGTGCTTTAAACTGCATGTGCCCAGCAGTTACTTCCCTGGGTATTCCTGAGCATTACTCTTGCACTGACAGTTCATTCTCTAAATGTGTTCAGGGGTATATCCTATCAAGGCCAGGCCGCCACTGGGATGGAGTGCCTTACCTTGGATATTCCAGGAGTTTTCTGATCTCTCATTCTCTTTGTAGGCCCCTAGTTGGGGGGCGGTCTTTAAGCGGTTTAGTTTAAACTCGCACTGCTTGTCAGTCCCATTTTCTTTGGCGAACATCGTCCAGTGCCTGGGAGAACCCGTCCCATTACCGGAAGGCCTTGGTATTCCTCAGCAGGTCTTTGGTGAGATCATTTATGCATAAAGGACAGCCTGTCGAGCCTGTTCCAGGCTATTCATGCCCGTGCCACCTCTTGGGTAGCTTAATCTTAATTAATCAATCAATGTCGAGCCTGCACTTGGCCATTGCAAGTTTGAAGGCTGTTCATTCTCTTTGCTGATGACAATGATAATTCTTTCTGCCTCTGCCATGCTGCCTGTTATGTTGATGCTTCCTATGACCCCAAATTCTGTGGAGTTTACTTCCCATGGGTTCTGATCTTGCTTCTGAAGTCGAGGCATTTCAGGCAGCTGCTGCATTATGTGCTAGGTTTCCCTGGTTTCAGCGTTCGTGGCTTTGTGGTCGGATGGAAGCCCCAGAATTGCCCCTTGTGGGGTATAGGAACACAGAATTAATTGGATGTGTTGGTAATCTCCATCTTGGTTCCAGCCACGCCTCCTCTTCCTTCCCTGGCAGGTGTGGGTTCGTCCTGCTTTAGTGTCTTATTACTATTGTACGTCCTGGACCATTATAATGGCCCAGGATGGATCGAAACTCCCTCTCATCTTATGGTGTTCGGTTTAGTTCTCACACTATAGAATATATAATAACATTTGTTGCTAAAGGCACAGCATAATGTGGTGTAAAGAAATATTAAGTCATATGAAATAAGAATGTTTCTGTATGACTAAATCCATGTGCATAACATGCTAAATGTTCATTACCTCAACTTACCTTTCATGCCATAGTAAGAAAATCTCTCGCAGAACTCTGTGCCGATGATGAAGGCGACGGAGCGCGGGTATTTAATTTTCTGTTGGGAGAATAAAATAAGTGTCTGTACGTGTTCTATGAGCATTAGCATCGTCTTCAATTGCAGCCTATCATAAACTGTAAGCCAATTGTTTAAAACAATATCAAACTCAATCACCTTGAAAAGCATAATTTATTAAATGAGGTTCATACCATACGAATATTCTCTCATTTTCCCCAAATGTGGTCTATTTAAAGCAGCTGATAGCAGTACAAATTATATGTTTACTTTGACGTTAGCAAAGCTGTTGACACTGTTTTACCCAACAAATTCATCACGGAAGTTGATGTACTGTACATTGGAGGACAAATACTAAACACGATTAGGCCATGCATGGTTAACAGAAAATAAATATAAATGGAATGAAGTCTTTAAGGACGTCTACAATAGAGAATTTGTGCTTCGACGTCCAAGCCCATTTTGCCAATTTCGTGGACAGCCAGAAGTTGACAATCCAGGGCCGGATTACCCAACATGCCAAGCAGGCCATGGCGGCCCACCAACACCCAGGGATGGGGGGGGGGTGTCTACCACTATTTTTTGGGGAGTTACCGTAAAAATTGACATATTAAATAATACTTTGAATAATCAATTACTTGGTAACACGGTCCGATTATTTTTTCCGTGTAATTCCTGTACTGTACAAGTGTATATTCCTCTAAAATTATGCAAAATATATTAATTGATCATTACATTATGATATTGGGTGTCTACGTGTATGTGTTTAGCCTTCGAATAGCCACATTGACCAAAGGGCGAGGCCTCTTTTGGCCTAGGTCCAAAAACAGATAGATCCGGCAACTATGGCAGTCATAGCACAATTAAGGCGTCCAGACCATACCTTAACAATCACGCATCACCAAACAGCCACCTGAGACAAATCAACCCTCCTCGGACGCTCAAGAGGACCATATATTACCCTAGCCAAAAAATAATAGAATAACTCAATCAGCTGCTCAAACTAAAGTTCTGCCTCACAAATTATCAGGAATAATGGAGGGGGTTGATGGAGAGATCTTTGACAAGCCGCCGGCATCCTGCCCCCCCCCCCCTGCCCCGTCAAGGCCGCTAGAGATGATGAGGTTATCTTGAGTTGATTTCGGGGCTTTTTTAGTGTCCCCGTGGACCAAGAGTAAATATCAAACCGTATCTTTAAAACCTATTATGAAATGCTACTTCACACTAAACAAACAGCGCACCTTCAAACACAATTATTTGATGGACGTGCAAGTGACGACTGCACACGGGTATCGACTTCACGTCAGAGGAAATATGTAAAATACTGTTGTAACTGATCCTTAACCCTGTACTATCCTAGACGTGTCTCAGGTGGGAGGGAGAGCTGGCGGGAACAGCCACACCCAACCTCATCCTGGTCGCCAATATACCAGGACGGGGATGGGTGAGGCTGGCTGGGGGAGGCGGGGAGAAGACCAGGTGATGGGTGAGGCTGGCTGGGGGAGGGGGAGAAGGCCAGGTGATGGGTGAGGCTGGCTGGGGGAGGCGGGGAGAAGACCAGGTAATGGGTGAGGCTGGCTGGGGAGAGGGAAGAGAAGACCAGGTGATGGGTGAGGCTGGCTGGGGAGAGGGAAGAGAAGACCAGGTGATGGGTGAGGCTGGCTGGGGAGAGGGAAGAGAAGACCAGGTGATGGGTGAGGCTGGCTGGGGAGAGGGAAGAGAAGACCAGGTAATGAGTGAGGCTGGCTGGGGAGAGGGAGAAGACCAGGTGATGGGTGAGGCTGGCTGGGGAAGGGGGAGAAGACCAGGTGATGGGTGAGGCTGGTTGGGGGAGGGGGGAGAGACCAGGTGATGGGTGAGGCTGGCAGGGGGGGAAGACCAGGTGATGGGTGAGGCTGGCAGGGGGAAGAGAAGACCAGGTGATGGGCGAGGCTACCGGGAGGGGGGTGGAAATAGACCAGGTGATGGGTGAGGCTGGTCGGTTTGGTCAACTAGACCAGGTTATGGGTGCATCTGGAGGAGGTGGAATAGCCCAAGAAATGAGCATAGTTGATGAAGGAATAGAAGACGAGTTGATGGGTCATTACTCACCTTGCGGTCCATCTCCTGCTCCTGCTGCCGTAGCAGTTCCTGATCTCTAGTGGACAACATCCTCCCTCCCTCACACTGCCTCGCCCACAGCCTATAGTCCGATAACCCTAACGTTTGTTTTCAGTAACCGTACACGAACGAGCTGCTACAACTCCCACTTATTTCCTTTATGCACCAGTTCTGGTTTAGGAACATATGATCCTGGAGGAGCGTGCTCCTCCAGTCAAGTGAACAGCCAGACGCTGTGAACAACACTGAGGGATAGTTGGCCATGGTTGAAAGTTTACCAGACCTCCCTTCACCAGCGCCAATATGACCCTGCAGCCACTCTCTTCCAGTTACCAAGTTTTTCTGGGATTGTTTTTTACAAGGGCACAAAAGCAGGTGACTACTGCCTCTTGTTAGCGGGTATAGAGTTCTCCCTATAAATCATCTTACTTTGTCCTGAAACGCGACCTGTCATGATTAGTATTCGTACCACAGGGATGAACAGTTAAGAATTATCCCCCCAGTGCCTGCTCAGCGTTCCAGAGCGGACAGACCAAATTTGACCTGAATTCAACCAGCATTTACATATTTTCTCAATCTTTGGCGGCTTTGTTTATATTTATTAATACAGCGTGAGAGTGTGTTACGAGCATCGAAATTTCACATTCAGGTGGTACTATCGTTATAAAAACCCTCCTAGTGCTTCGGAGTTCAGAAACGGTTTAATATATGTAAACAAAGCCGCCAAATACTAAGAATAGATAGATTATTTATTCAGGTAAAGGTACATACATTGAAGATGAGTTACAAACATAATGTTGGAATTTAAAAGATATAGCTAGTACATACAATACTGATGTACAAGTTCGTTAGTACGTGCGCAAACTGCTTTATGAATCTGATTCACGCCGAGAATGTTTGGTGTTAGGCTTAAGATCTATCAACCTCTGGAGGGTTAATAAGCCTACTAAATGTGCTTACTGTCCAAAAGAAAGTATGCTGTACCTCTGGGGTACGTCTCTCCGTGTATTCCTTGCTTCAGTTACACGTATGTAGTAACAGCATGTATACTATACACTGTAGACCTTGTATTTTTGTTTTAAAGTAAATTGAATTTAGCGACTTATGTGTTGGCAACGCTGTGTAAAGTCACACACGGTTCAATAGTCTCCCGCCTCATAGATACACATATAATTGGTGCATTTGTGGGAAATTAAATAATAGAATATTCGCATAATACATGTATAACTCCCTTTATGAAGCTTATTAGGCAGTCGTCATTTTGTAAGCAACAAATATTTAAATATACTCAAAATGTTTAAAAATGATTGTGTCTGAACCCGAGATGATTGTGACAGGGACGTGACGTGGGTTAATATCGCTATGACCTCGCATGAGAAATATGTGTTGTGTCTATCTCGATTTTGTTTAAGTATTGGAGGGGGGAGAGGGAGGGGCGGGAATGTAAATTACCTAAGTGTAGTTACAAGGTGAGAGCTACGCTCGTGGTGTCCCGTCTTCCCAGTACTCTTTGCTGTATAACGCTTTGAAACTACTGACGGTCTTGGTCTCCACCACCTTCTTACTTAGCTAGAGAAAGAGAGTGTGTGTGTGTGTGTGTGTGTGTGTGCGCGAGTGTGTTAATATATCTGAGAGTGTGTGTGTGTGCGTGCGCGCGTGTGTGTGTTTACTAGTTGTGTTTACTAGTTGTGTTTTTGCGGGGGTTGAGCTTTGCTCTTTCGGCCCGCCTCTCAACTGTCAATCAACTGTTTACTAACTACTTTTTTTTTCCCCCACACCACACACACACACACCCCAGGAAGCAGCCCGTGACAGCTGACTAACTCCCAGGTACCTATTTACTGCTAGGTAACAGGGGCACTTAGGGTGAAAGAAACTTTGCCCATTTGTTTCTGCCTCGTGCGGGAATCGAACCCGCGCCACAGAATTACGAGTCCTGCGCGCTATCCACCAGGCTACGAGGCCCCTCCACCACGAGGTGGAGGCCCCTCCACTACGAGGTGTGTGTGTGTGTGTGTGTGTGTGTGTGTGTGTGTGTGTGTGTGTGTGTGTGTGTGTGTGTGTGTGTGTGTGTGTGTGTATAAGTGTGTGAAATTGAGTATGTGTGAGTGTGAGCGAGTGAGAGTGAGCTAGTGTGAGTGTGATAGAGTGTGTGTGTGTGTGTGTGTGTGTGTGTTTGTTCCCAGTCTCTGGACGACAGATCGCTCAGGGTTCCATCAGGTTCACCACCCAAGTCTACCGCAGTACCCACTGGTAGACGGCGAAAGTAAACTTTAATTAAGTTACCAGACGAGTTTAAAACTTGTCAATGATGGATTGGAGCCCTGACGCCTACCAAGCACCATGGCTTATCACCTCCACACAAGCTGATATCATCATTGTATAACCCGTACCTCTTGCTGAAAACATTACATTTTGACGCAATCGACAACTGGCATAAAAGTACCAGTGGTTTACGGGGAATTCAAAAACCCTTGATATTGACGCTTTTAGGGACTAATGAGTATTTTTGTGGTAGGTTGCGTAGCCTAGGTTTTGAGGCTTTTTTTTTAGTTTGGCTAATCAACTGCTTTTTTACGAATGGGAAATAGAGAGACAAGCTGGACACAAACGTAAAAAGTGTTGGTGTTACGCTGTATTGGTATCGTCTTATCTGTAATTTCCACTATTACTTTAGGAACATATACAAGTTATAGGGTCAGTTTGGTTGTGTGTGTTTAAAAGAGTAGCAATGACGTAAAGGGGCTCTTATTGTTCGCAGGTTATAGACCCTACTCAAGGAACTAGGAACATACTAGGAGTGTAGCTAGGCTACACTTGGAACTGTACACTGACCTCTTGCTTCGCCTCCGGGTCATCGTAAGTCTTCTCATCGCCATCAAGCAGCTTCGTATCTGTTAAGGAAAAAAATATATTCTTAAAAGTAATTCACGGACAACAAAAATCGCCTCCATACGACTCCAATGACAACACGGAAAGTGCATAAATAAATATTTACTGGATAGGTTGCATTTTCAGCGCCCGGATCATTGACGCTGTCAGCTGGAAAGCACAATAAACTGACGTTTCAGGACTCATTGTTGCGTTGTATATATGTTTCGCTTTTATAGTAAATATACATGGTAAAGAAGATATACATAATGACGGTAAACAATGTCTGGACATCAATGAGCCCCCCCCCCCCCCATAATGTTAAATTATTATATAACGGTCATGAGGGGGCTACTCTAAATACATATTATACCTTTCATTAACCCACCATACATATAAGTATTATAAGTTCTATGAAAACAGAGTTGTTTTACAGATACCACACATAAATACCACCTTAGGAGTAAAAATAAGGAAACTATCCACAGGGTACCAAGTTCACATGTAAACGCTCTGAGTGACAATACTTGAATGTGTGTGTGCATGGCTGAGCCTCTCTTTCTGAACTCTGTCATTAAAATATTTTAATTCTATGAACCTTGTCTCGTTTTGCTTATATATATTTAAATTGTGAATCGAAGCATCTTGAAATGCTTTTCCATCAAAGCCATTTTGTGTGTGTACTCACCTAGTTGTGGTTGCGGGGGTTGAGCTCTGGTTCTTTGGTCCCGCCTCTCAGCTATCAATCAGCAGTACAGATTCCTGAGCCTACTGGGTTCTATCATATCTACATTTGATTTTGTGTATGGGGTCTGCCTCCACTATATCACTGCCTAATGCATTCCATCTGTTAGCTACTATGACACTGAAAAAGTTCGTTCTAACGTCCCTGTAGCTCATTTGGATACTCAGTTACCACCTGTGTCCCCTTGTTCGCGCACCAAATGTGTACGTGTACGTGTATGTGTATGTACTCACCTAGTTGTGTTTGCGGGGGTTGAGCTCTGGCTCTTTGGTCCCGCCTCTCAACCGTCAATCAACAGGTGTACAGATTCCTGAGCCTATCGGGCTCTGTCATATCTACACTTGAAACTGTGTATGGAGTCAGCCTCCACCACATCACCCCCTAATGCATTCCATTTGTCAACCACTCTGACACTAAAAAAGTTCTTTCTAATATCTCTGTGGCTCATTTGGGCACTCAGTTTCCACCTGTGTCCCCTTGTGCGTGTTCCCCTTGTGTTAAATAGACTGTCTTTATCTACCCTATCAATCCCCTTCAGAATCTTGAATGTGGTGATCATGTCCCCCCTAACTCTTCTGTCTTCCAGCGAAGTGAGGTTTAATTCCCGTAGTCTCTCCTCGTAGCTCATACCTCTCAGCTCGGGTACTAGTCTGGTGGCAAACCTTTGAACCTTTTCCAGTTTAGTCTTATCCTTGACTAGATATGGACTCCATGCTGGGGCTGCATACTCCAGGATTGGCCTGACATATGTGGTATACAAAGTTCTGAATGATTCTTTACACAAGTTTCTGAATGCCGTTCGTATGTGTGTGTGTGTGTGTGTGTGTGTGTGTGTGTGTGTGTGTGTGTGTGTGTGTGTGTGTGTGTGTGTGTGTGTGTGTGTCCGTCCGTCCGTCCGTCCTATCAGTGTGCGGCTGGACGTGGAGTATGCGAGCGTGAGTGTATACGCGGGATATGTGGAGGAAATATAGTAAGGTTAAGGGAAGACAACCTACGTTCCATCGTATGGTCGAAAGTCCATAGCACCTCCTCCTCCTCGTCGTCGCCGTCGCCTGTAAAGCAGTTGTCTTGCTGGGGCTCCTTCCACACGTCCTCCTTCAGCAGCGGCGTGTACATGGTAGATACCCGGCCGACCTCAACCGGTACTCGAAGCAGAGAGCGACAACGAGAAATATAGGAATATCGGGGATCCGGGAAGGACTTATGTATCCAAGTTGGAGTCACGTAATAGTGTTACAGAATGATGTTTGTTTACATCCGGTAGGGAGCCTAGGTGAGGGAGGAGGGGAATAACCCAACAAGGTATCCAACGACACACCTGTATCACTCAGTTATGGAAATTTTAATGTACTGTTTAGGAAATGCTTTCGTGTTCACGGATAGCGTGTGAGACAGTCAATTATGTAATACCTGCTGAAACTGGGAGCAAAGGTACGACGGAGTACAACGGCCGGTAGTCCTATAGCGGACACCTCTTGGGACTACCTCGGGCACGAGAAAATGCTTAACATTAGGGCGACTGCTGGACAACACACTTGTAGATAATGTTGAGCTGTGAACGTGGGAGAAATCCGGAGATGCAAAGTTTTGAGAAATAATAATGCTTTTATGAACGAGTGAGAGAGACAAGCCCAGGAAAGACAGGTGACAGACAAGTGACAGAGGCGAGTACCACAGGGACAGGAGGCGACGGAACACACCGTGTGTTCTATCACAAGGGACGGAAGACGGGGAGGAGGAGGGAGACGGGAGAACCTAGTCGTACAAGATATCTACTTAATGCTAACAATTTGTTGAAGCTATTGAACAATCCTCGTTCCTCCATCTAAGAGATTATAAAGAAAGAATGCAAGATGTAATACGTAATTACAAGGAGACCACCAAATTGAAATTGAAATTAAAATAGAAATATTGAAATTAGTATCATTTACCCGGGTGTTAAATATTAATTATAAGCAGCCAGATAGAACCAAAGTCAACCTGCATAGAAGACACCGGTGGCATTACAGATGTTTGCAATAAGCGGTGTAATTAAAACATTGAAAATGTAAAAATTTAGCAGGAAAATGGTAAAATTCAGCAGGAAAATACAACAAGAAGCTAATGATAGCTTATAATGATATTGACAAAGTTTCTAAAAGGGGTAATAAGTGCACAAATGTATGGGATTTGAGGGGCAGGTAAGGGCGAAAGGCTGACCAAGAGGCATCTGGGGGTCGGAGTAGACAGGTGGACTACGTCATGGGGCCGTGGGACACCTGTAACGGACACATGAAACACAATGTCAGACATTTAAGGACCCAACAGTAATTGGGATGGGTATGACTACAGGACACCCACTACACACTACATAATAGTAGGGAAAATTGAGACGTAGACCGATTCCTTGGCCAGCCGTAGAGTTGCATGCAACATTGTTAAGGTAAGATTTAATATTTGCAACATTGCAAATCAACATGACACAATGGGATTTGGAGTTACAATTAAGGGCATGTGAGGGACAGGTGGGGTGAGGGAGACCAAACGTACCAGTGAACAATGATTTAGGGGAAATGTCATTGTGTTTAGGATAGTTTCAGTATGGAGTATTAGTAGTATTAGATTGCTTCGTTCAGTGAAATGTACTTACGAAGTTGCAGTTCTGATGAAATTATGGTTTTGCATAGCATAAACTTGCATTGTAATCCGTTTGCAAAGGAATATTACATGACCATGAAGTCACGAAAATCCTACTTACTGACTGCCCGAAATGCTTTTTTATTTTATTTTCATAAATACGTTTGTTGACACAACATGCACGCGTGTCACTCCCACTCACCTCCCACCTGTGTCCTGCACACCCCCTTGTGTGTCTATGTATTAACACGATGTGCTGAACGGGGTGAGAATTGCTTGAGCTACCTCATCCCTTTGTGTGTATTTTACCTCAATAAACTTATTTCAATTTCAATTGCACACCCTTCTTATCTTAATGCTTCTTGTTATAACATGTCCTTGCAATATTGCTTGGCTTTTATTAGATGACCAAACACAACACAAATCCAAGAAAAGTTTGTCACACAAAACACCTGTTTAAACCATCGTCTGATCTGTATGAGGCTTTAACAGTTTTATCTAATATATATATATATATACTGAATTTGGCCATTTAGAACTTTGTTCAAAAAATACTTTTCCGAAACTTTGAGTGTTCCAGTTTTCAATGATATTAATTATAAACCCTGCACAATTATTTTATTTTCAGTCGCTAATTTTCTGTACACACACACTAGTGTAAAACATTAAAAGAGGCACAAGAAGGCTTGTAGGCGACACACAACATCTAGACCTCACTTCTCACAATCACAGTTAGGGGGTCACTATTAGGCAGACACATATAAGTAGGTCAAAGGCAGGATAGAGCCATGGATGAGAAGCTGTGGAGTATGCTTGATGGTCGGGATCCATCAAGTATTTACGCAACTTACCAAACCCACCATGAGAGTAAGAACAAGACCAGAACGTGAAGATGCCAACGTTGACGACACTATATCTCAAGTTCTAAAGGTTCCTTGCTCCGTTGCTCTTGCAGAATATGTATCACTAAGATATAACAAAATTACCACAAACTAATTTGGGTGACTTGATAGACATGGTAAACTGACATAGCTAATAGCCGGAAAATCTAATATATTTATATAAATGACTTGCTAAGCTACAATCAATACCGAGTCACCAAATACCAAGACACTTTTTGCAACAAGGAAACAAAATGCAAAATAATCACATACAAGCCATCCAGAGGTATTTTAACTCTCGCTGAAAAGTATCCGAATTGACAGTACGGTTTAATACTAAGTGTAATAAGTACAATTTGTGACTGCTAGGAATAGTACATAATTACACTTACTTGTGCCATTACATTTACCTCCCCCATATTCGGAGGATGGGCTGCTCTTTAAAGGTCTTTAATGACGTTAATTAACTGCAAATAATTGTTTCGACTCATTAAGCTATGCTAATACAAGATTAAATAAACATGAGATAATATGCCTTTGGCGGAGTGAGGTGGCAAATATCACCCCCACAAGAGAGAGAGAGAGAGAGCCTGGTTGTGTTAAAATGGTCGATACATAGCTCTCGGAGACCGCCTTTCCACTCCTGGTCACTTGATTCCATGTTTCTCCTGTTTCTGGCCATGTTTCTCACTGAGGCTGCTTAATTATTGTATGTCTCAAAGCCGCTTCCGTGATTATAGCCCCTTCCATTTACTTATGACTCAAACCTGAAGTTATCATA